GAGATACCTGGCGAATAAAATTCTCACAGGGCCACAGCCTAAACAGGCTAAGCTGCTCTGTTGAATCAGGAAGGCCAAACTTTTTTTCTTAATGCTGGACAGAGATTAAAACAACATCTAAAAGCGCGTTGTTAGTTCCCTCTGAGACACCCGGAGAATAAATTCAAAAGGCTAAGCTGCTCTGTTGAATCAGGAAGGCCAAACTGTTTTACTTAATGCTAGACGGGGATTCAAAAAATATCTGAAAAGCGAGTTTTTAGTTCCCTCTGAGACACCCGGAGAATAAAATTCTCACAGAGCCACAGCCTAAAAAGGCTAAGCTGCTCTGTTGCATCAGGAAGGCCAAACTTTTTTTCTTAAATGCTGGACAGAGATTCAAACAATATCTAAAATCGAGTTTTTTGTTCCCTCTGAGACACCCGGAGAATAAAATTCTCACAGAGCCACAGCCTAAAAAGGCTAAGCTGCTCTGTTGCATCAGGAAGGTCAAACTTTTTTTCTTAAATGCTGGACAGAGATTCAAACAATATCTAAAAGCGAGTTTTTAGTTTCCTCTGAGACACCCGGAGAATAAAATTCTCACAGAGCCACAGCCTAAAAAGGCTAAGCCGCTCTGTTGCATCAGGAAGGCCAAACTTTTTTTCTTAAATGCTGGACAGAGATTCAAACAATATCTAAAAGCGAGTTTTTAGTTCCCTCTGAGACACCCGGAGAATAAAATTCTCACAGAGCCACAGCCTAAAAAGGCTAAGCTGCTCTGTTGCATCAGGAAGGCCAAACTGTTTTACTTAATGCTAGACGGGGATTCAAAAAATATCTGAAAAGCGCGTTTTTAGTTCCCTCTGAGACACCCGGAGAATAAAATTCTCACAGAGCCACAGCCTAAAAAGGCTAAGTTGCTCTGTTGAATCAGGAAGGCCAAACCGTTTTACTTAATGCTAGACGGAGATTCAAACAATATCTGAAAGCGCGTTTTTAGTCCTTTCTGAAACACCCGGAGAATAAAATTCTCACAGAGCCACAGCCTAAAAAAGCTAAGCTGCTCTGTTGAATCAGGAAGGCCAAACTGTTTTACTTAATGCGGGACATGCACTATCATCTTCACGGATCTAATTAGTGCAAAATTAAATAAAGCTGTAATCTGTAAATCAATTTTTGGTTTATGAAATTTTACTCACTTTTACCGACAGTTAATTTGATAGCCACTGGCTTAGGCAAAATAAATTTTCCTCTTTTCTTTAAAGGGATTCGATAAAATTGAAAATATCCACTACGATCCACACTTAAAAACTGAACTCTGACTGAATTGAACTGTTTGCGATCAGGCTTAAGAAATAGCGATCTCCATCAACATTCTCCATGAACATTACACTTTCACATCATTAGCACTTATTGAGAATTTATGAAATGATCGATTGATCAGTGTCGACCTTAAAACGTTTTTGCGCTAAAATGATAATAGGTAGCCATTTGAAGGTGATACAAAGGAACCTAAAATAGACTTACCAAGTTTCGGCCGATGTTTAGAAAATTGAAAAGGGCTGAAGAGCATCACCGTTCGGGCTAAATCCAGTCAGCGACCCTTAATAAAAATCATTTAAGTTTACATAATCAACAACGACGTGAATGCCCGAGTTTCTGACTTGACGGTCATGGGCATCTGCCACCGTCAGGGAATCATACGATATCGCTTCTCGAATGAATCCCTCATTTTAATTCCCCCAATTCAGTAATCCACGACCAAGTACCTTTTCCAGATCTTCTCCTCACGACGAAACGCTTTCTCTGACTTCTCTGGCCGCTTCCTGCTATATTTTCTAGTAGCTGGAAGGAATTTCGTCCTTCTTTGATCGCTTTAAACCCGCTTTCGTCGGCATTTCATCGGCGCAAGTTAAAGGCTCGTGCTAACGTTAAAACGACAACAACATGATCTTTCCTCTTTGAAAAACCAAACCTGGATGGGTTGACTCGAGCGCTAGTACTATCTGTACTATCGACCAAATCACAAATAGCTAAAAATAATCGGCCCTGCTACTTCCAAACATCATCTCTACATAAAAAAGCATAAAATTTTGACTTGCCATGAAATATATCCGTCGGTAAAACCATTTGGTCACTGATATTGCATACGAGATTACCTTTTTTTGGCAAGCGAGGGTCCAAAGACTGAAGATGCTTTTCTCGACGAACGCGCCATTTTCATGCCGGCTTTGAAATTTGCGCGAGATCGCATTGTGATACAAATAGTATCTGTCTTTCGTCTCTGCTCGTTTTCCACCAGTGACGCAAAGTACACAAGTCATGACAGATTAGTGGCTATTAATTGAATCCTAATTAGGTTTTTACAAGGACACCGGAAATTGAAACTTCCTCCCTGTGGTGAATTTCAAAGTCGTATGAATCTCGTCATGATGTCCTATATGTGTCAGAGTAGAGATCGCCTTAATCCGTAACACTGAAAGGAGCTTTTTCGTAAACTACATTACGGATTCTTTTAAGGGTGGGAGAGAGAATTCGGACACGTTCGTGCGGACCGATCCGAATCCCAACCACGCCTTTCACCCCTACATCTCTACCGCCTTACTTTACCTTGAAAACCGCGAAAACAACTGTATCCTTTCCGCTGAGGATCGTCACAAGAGTAATCTGACACTGCGTTGTAGTTATCGCAGACAGCGTGACCTGCCTGCTCGTTACAGAGGCTCTTGTTTTGGCATTCATCAATATCAATCTCACAGTGTACTCCTGTTGTCCACTGATCACAGTTGCATCGGTATGAACCAGGAACATTAACACACGTACCACAATTGCAAGGATTAGCTGACAGTAAAAATTACATACAAATGTTATAACTCAAGAAGGCTGGAAAACTCAAATGTTCACATAACAGAACACGAGGCAATCGCGTGTTCCGACGCTACAAGAAGGCAGTGCAAGTCACGAACGAGGTTCGTATTTATTACCTCTACTACGCTGGTAATACCGACGGTCTCAAGGGTGTTCGCTTACGAAATCCTTTGGCAAGGGGGTTCCTTAAAGGTGAATGAAATTGCCTACACGTTTTAAATGTAACCCCGTTAATCTAGAAACAAGTTTTAAAGGGAACCTCCACTCTTACTACAGAATAAGTTTAAATCGAATAAAATTATGTTGATAAACAAATTTGTTCGAAATTTGTCTTTAAAAAAGTGTTTATATCAGGAAAAGTGAATTTTAAAATCGCTTATTTTCACTTTCAAATTTCGCGGGCGCCGCCATCTTGACTAATTGTGACGTGTAATGGTTGCTCTATTGTTCTGACACAAAGAGCTTTTGTTTAATAACAATAGGGCAACCATTACACGTCACAATTATTCAAGATGGCGACGCCCGCAAAATTTGAAAACAAAAATAGGCGAATCTAAAAGTTATTTCTTTCAGATACAAACGCTTTCTTTAAAAATATTTTAGATTGACTTGACTGTAACATTTATTTCCTGTGATTTAAAGTTATCTTTTTGTTGAAGTGGAGGTTCCCTTTAAAAAGTAACAATAGGGACTTTCAGATCCGACGACGCGACGGCAACGAGAACGTCAAAAAGAGCAATAGGCTTAAAAAAAGCAAAACAACAACTTTGCACGTGCATCACGCTTTTTTTTTGTACATTTTGTTGCCGTTTGTGCACGACTACGGCGTAAAAATGCCTAATTTAGCGTTTTATGGAGGACGTAAACAAGCGACGACGAAATTTTATTTCTCTTTCTGAACTTGAACATGGTTCTTAGAAATTCAACTCCTGGGGGGTTTACCTACATTTGACAAAGATGTGGATAGGAATAATCGCGATGAAGACTGAAAGAACGCAAGTGCACTTTTTAAGCGAGGTTTTCGCTGCCGTCGCGTCCTCGAATCTTAAAGTCCATATTATCTCACCAACACATTCGTCGATGTCTGAGTCACAAAATTTTCCAGTGAAACCTGAAGTACAGCTGCACGTAAATGAGTCAATACCATCGATACATGTTCCTTTGTTACAGTTATTAGGATTTGAGTCGCACTTGTTAATGAGTGAATCACAATTCCTCCCTGTATAACTACGGTTACACTGACAAACGTAACTATCCATTAACGGGATACAAACTCCACTGTTGCATGAATTAGGAAGGCAGTTCGCCAATAGTCCACTACAATTCACATTTCCAAACCCTTCTGTGCAGGTACATCCGTATTCGTTATATGCTAACCTTTCACACGTTGCATTGTTCTTACATGGATATTCATTGCATAAATCAATGAGCTTTTCGCACTGTTTTCCAGTGTAATCCACCGTGCATTGGCATTGATAACCGGGGAAATACGACTTGTTGACATGACTGTCGATGCATGTTCCATTGTTCATGCAAGGTAAGTCAGCACATTCGTGGATGTCAAATTCACAGAGTGTACCGTTATAACCAGCAGGGCAGGAACAACTGAAGGCTGTTGCGTTATCCGAACAATTCCCTCCATTTTTGCAGGGTGCCCTTATCTCACAGGTCAAAGAAGGATCATACTGACACAAGGCACCAAAATATCCCTGTTTACAGTCACAAGCAAAGTTACCTTTAGTGTTGTTACAACTGCGTGTTCCCGTAGCGTTACAAGGACCGTAAGGCGGCGTGTCAGCACATTCATCAATATCCAGCTCACAGAAGGCGCCATTAAAACCATCTACACATGAACAGTTATAAGACGCAATTCCATCAACGCAAGTGGAATTGTTTGTGCAGTTATTGTCTGCACAGTCATCAATATTTATTTGGCAGTTTCTTCCCATAAAACCCGTTGCACACGAGCAACTGTAGTTTAGGTGCAATTCTGTGCAGGTTCCTCCATTTTGACAAGGCCCAGAGGCGCATTCCTTCGTGTCGTTCTCGCATCGCTTTCCTTCAAATCCTGCGGTGCAGATACAGCCAAACATGTCAAACCCTACGTCACTTACTTGGTTCTCATTGGTTGAAACGTTTACGTGCGTTAGGTTATAACACGTGCCATTCACGCAAGGTGAGTGTGCGCAAGTCATGTTAGCGGTCAGGTTACAAACATTTCCCGCCCATCCCTCGGGACACGCACACGTGAACTGGTTCCAGACGTCACCGCATACACCGCGCACACAAGGACTCACGGCGCAGACATCATCACCATGGCAACCAAGCTGTATTCCGCGGATGGTGGCGTTAAAGTGAGGTTTCAATGGTGTCACATGACTTACATTCAATGTACCGTTATAGTAATCAACAAACGGGAGCAAAAGACCTCCGATGCGAACATTATCTAAGCAACCTTTAAACACCGAGTTGCCAGCCAAAACTGAAGCGCGTTGTAATAAGCCGGTTATTTCCCTACTATGAAGTCTGGATGAGTTATAAGTCTCGCTACCGTCTACAGTAACATGACTTTGATTATTGGTGACGATGAAGACGACTTCATGCCATCGGCCGTCATTAACAACAACATCTGAAAATACAAACACAAACCAAAATTTAAGGTTTTAAGTTGACGGAAGTTCCTGAAAAGTTGACGGTGTCCCAATATAATAGGGTACGCTGAGACACCACAAGCCTTTCTGTAGATAGGTGGGTCCTGGCTGTGTTCCGTAGTTTTAATAAATTCCCTCCCAACCATTACCCTGCTTTCTAGAGGTTATTATTTTTTTTACCTATATATATAATTCCTGATAGTTCGCGGCGAAGCGCCTCGCTCTTTCTCAAACCGTAAGTACGGTTTACTTCATCCTAGGTATTTCGAGAACGGACCTCTGGAGTCAGGGTACCCAGCCAAATATTCATTAGGTCATGCGTTTCGTCGTTAGGTATTAGTTTACCAGATTATAACATTGAAATGTATCGTGAACATGTTTCTATCTGAGAACTTTAAACAGTTTAAAATACACAAGGCGATACGTTGCAGCATGCACTGATAAATAGTATAGGTTCACAGCAGTATGACCTATATTTAAGGGTAGAACATCCTCGGTACATACACAGATTTCCCCGAATTTTGTGCCGAACTGTATTGACTCTTACCTGACAATATTAAACCACTTTCTCCTTCTAAAAGGTAATGGGTTCTTACTCGCCCGTTCGCGACCTCTATTTTAAAGAAAGTATTCCGGTCTTGATTCATGTCAATCAAACTAGTTGATGGCTGTCTTGTCCGCACTCTCAGGGACACATTAAAGCTGACATTAACGTTTGAAGTGAATATGAACACTGTACTGCTTGAACTGCCATTTAATGCCACAGGATGGACACCTATCAAATAGACAAGAAAAAATTCTAAATTCTCTCTACCCTGAGTCCCATACACACAGAATTCCCCACTGTCTCTGATCAGAGGGTCGAATGGCAAAGCCAAGCTAGTTATGAAGTCAAACCTAACCGTGTAAAAAGCACATAGGAGCCTTTGCAGATACGTTGATGACAAGCACCCTTTCGCTTCAATACCATTTCTGGCATTGATGAGAGCGTGCGTGGGTTCCAGCAATGCTTCAACACTTAGCAATAATGACTTGGCACCGCGTGACCAAGTCTTTCAATATTGGTAAGAAACATTGAAATAACATTGAAAGCTCGTTGGAAGAGCGTTGCAACATAGTTTGGGCTTTCGTCTAAAATTGCTCTTATCAACAACTTTGTCTACGTACACAGATATTGGAAAATATTGGATTGAATTGACACCGTTTAAACGCTCGGATCAATTTTCGTTGCTCCAACCTACTTGCGCAATTTAAGAGTCCGAAAGTGATAGCGGCCGAAAATAGTATTTAGCTGGAAAATTAAGATCCTGAAGGGATATCAATCCAAAAGACGTGGCTGGTGATACTGAGTCTTTTGTTACAGAAAATTGGACCCTTCAGGGGTGATATTGTTGGCACAAAATTTATGCCAAAAAACTTCTAGAATAAAAGAATAAATATATAAAATAGTTGACCACTTACACTCGTAATTTTCACCGACATCTCTGCAAGTTGTATTGGCAGGACACAGGTTGACCAGGGCACAACCATACAATGCACAGTCCGTCCCACCATAGCGTGGTTTGCAGTCACACTGATATTTGTTCCATAAATCTTTACAGTATCCTCCAACACCACACGGAGCGGAACGACAGACGTTCATCCCTTTACACCCTTCACCCAGATGACTACTAGATAGTAACTGATACTGATCCATGGAAATCAACGAGGGAGACGTAAAGCCGAAATCAACCAATTGATTGTTGAGTCGAATGTCCTGCAAACAGCCCCGAAATGGGTTTCTTATAAGAAAGGCATCAGGGAACCGATTATAGTCATCCAATCCTCCAATGAAGGTGAAAGTTAAGTTAATACTTCTCCCTCCAGTTAGAACAACTTCCTGTGTGTGGTTATCAAGGCGCAACATGTTGCCTTGCATTTCCGCGAAATGCCATTCTCCGTCATTTATGCTTTCATAGAGCGTCACATTTGAATTTACCCCGTCTAACTTCACTTGAATAGTCAAGAATCCTTCATGAACAACAACAGCAATATGGTTGTCGCCACTGTCTGTCATAAATACCACGAGACCGTTATGTTCTCGAGTTCGGATGAAGAATGATAATTCTCCAGAAGCGCCAAAACTTGTACGGTTGGTAAGAAATTTAGCAAAGCTCGCACTCTGCATGCTCTGAATATCCCGACGCCGTCTGTCGAGAGTAGTTACCGGTATCGGCAGTTCGGTTGCACCAAACGAACCTGGAATCAAAGCTGAAATGAAGAGAACATGGGCGTTACCAAATCATATTCTTCGTGCAAAGGATAAAAAGGAGAACTGCGGAAACGCAATTTTTTGTCCAGATCACTAAAAACGCATCTTGCGGAAACCAATTTTTTGCCATTTTGACTGACTAACTTTTCTTGCTGGTGACTTATTTTTTCGTTTAATTACAACACTTATTGTTACTTAATCTACAATCACTCGAAATTCAAACTTAAGAAGTACAGATGTAAAACCCGTTGATTAGTGTCATTCAATCACAATGTGCCTGATTGCTCTGGCAATCGATCACCAATAACTACAACATCACTTGATGCACTATGATCACCCAGGTAATTACACGCATTGTCTCGTTTAAACTGACATTTTACTGTCACATGATATCTTGTATTGGTCCTGCTTGTTGTCTCAGATGGGAACAGTTTTTGCACCTCATTTTAAACAAAACATTTAACAGCCTTATCCTTTTAGTTTTGGTTATTACTCACTTGCATTGCATTGTGGGCCAATCCAGCGGCGCTCACATTCACAGCTATACTTGATCCATTTATCTACACACTTGCCATGCGTACAGGGGTTCGAAGCACAAACTTCACGGCGGAGACATCCAATACTGGTATTGACTAAAGACACTTGTGAGCCTGTGGCAATCACAGTGTTCCTGTCTATGGTTACGTCCTGGATGCAGCCAGTAAAATTATACAGCGTATTATGATCATAACTTGGACCAACTGGAGATCCACCAACGTAAAGATCTGTTAAGCTCACTTGAGTTTGCAGAGAAGATGAAGCAACGCAGTGTTGACCGCAAGAAGAGTTATCAACTGTCACGCTCACAGAGCTTGAAGATATGTTGATATGAATTGTGTGCCAGTGGCCATCGCTGAGGCTGGCTGTCTTGCCGACAGAAAGCTTAGTAGCCTTATTGTACACGATAGTAACATTTCCTGTTTCGAGAAACACAAGAAAAGTACTTTTTGAATCAGCCGCAAGCAGGCCATAGCTTAGAGTGGTCCGAAACTGAAACGAAAGCTCGAAGGCGTTTCTGTCAAGCTGGAAAAACATGAATGACGAGCCGCTTAATCCAATGGTGGTCACGTTCTCGCATAGCGCACCTCCAAACCCCGGAGAGCATTCACACGTGTAGTTGTTGTTTTCTGGGTGTTGCGTGCATGAGCCGTTATTAAAACAAGGATTAGGAACGCAGGATGTGAGCTTGGTCTCACACCTTTTACCAGTGTAGTTTCTAGGGCAAGTACAGTTAAAATCAGCTATTAAATCTCTGCATGTTCCGTTGTTTATACAAGGACTAGACTCACACTCGTCGATATCCTCGGAGCAATTTTTTCCTGTGGGACGAAAAAGATTGAAATACTTCAATTGAAACAAAACATTTCAGAATCGATTGCCCTGACTAATGTATTGAAATTAATGATTTCATGCTTGCGCGAAGCCCCGGCTTTCCGGCCCCACCCATCAAACCGATAGCATGCCCCAGGGAAGAAAAATATATGAAGTACAGTGACAAAAATCTTGGCCACCGTTTGGGTTTAAACACTGTCTTCAAAATATCGCGTTGTTGTGCAGGCAACAACCGTAGTTCAATCAGAACCAGGCCTTATATTGGTCATATTTCGGTCAGTAGCTACAGATTACAAAAAACTATTTCTTGCGCCGACTGTTAGGGAAGAAATCATGATAATGTTGTCATATTTACGATACACTGCTAGTAGACATAAATCATAGGGTAACGGGGTAGTTACGAGGGGCTTTACACCGGTTTCGCTACCTCTCAAATTCGCTGCGTTCGAGTTCGCTACCAACATACTGGGCTCGCTGCCAATTAGCAAAGTCCAAAACTTGCACCTTTGGAAGGGGAAGCGTAAAAGAACAAGAAATATATTAAAATATTTTTTTTTCTAGTGGGATTAAGGAAATATTTTAAATGGTTTACAGAAAGAAGTAATACATAGCGAACAGGTAGTATAGCGAACTCGAACGTAGCGAACTCGACAAGTAGCGAGTCTGTACTGAAGTCATTATTATTACCTTCACCCATACACAAACTTCTCCAGTAGAGTTATGAAGAAATTTCATCAGGGTGCACTAATCAGTTTCAATTCATGTCCATCCTTGCCATCCGTTGAAACAGACGACAGAAAACAGAAAACAGTTTCAATGCCTAAATAAATTCTTTAACAGGGTTCATACAAAAAAACCCAACTATTTTTCAAGGACTTTTCAAGGACCACCTACTAGGAATATAATTTCACATATGGTACAAAAATGCACATTTCCAGTCTATTCTTATAAGGCTCTAAGGCTTGATCTGTTTGCTTCAACAACTTCTCTAAATTTTTCAGTTCACTTGTCAGTCTTAAATTGATAGTTAATTATTGCACAAAACATTGAGCACTTTGTGTAAATAACTTTAAATGCTCTGAGTCATGATTCATATTCTGAGTTGGACAATAAAAAACAACAAAAAACACTTTCCATGCCACTAAATTCACAGGACTTGCAAAGAAATTTAAGGACTTTTCAAGGAAAAATGGAATTCAAGGACTTTTCAAGGACTTCCCCTAAATTTCAAGGACATTTCAAGATTGTGTGAACCCTGTTTAATAACAAAACTGGACCATTATTTTTGGAATTCAATTGATGCAAAGACAAGTTTCAGCCCTTTTGAAAAAACTCAAATAGGAGCATGACATGGCCCCTTTAATGTAGTCCATAACTATTTGAGTTTCAACAGGTTACCTGTATATCCAGGAAAACAGGTACAGTTGAAGCCATTTACCAGATCTGTACAGTTTCCATTAACACAAGGGCTTGATGCACATTCGTTGATTTCAGTGGAACAATTGAAGTCTGAAAATCCAGGCTTACATGTGCAGTTGTATGTTCCATCTAAGTTTAGACAAGTTGCGTTATTTTGGCAGACATGTAGGTCACACTCATTTATGTCAGTGTCGCAATTTTTTCCTGTCCAACCAGATGCACATGTACAAGTGTAGGAAAAAACCTCATCGGTGCAAGTCGCGCCATTTTTACAAGGCGAACTTAAGCAGTCATCGGTATTTAATTCGCAGTTATGACCTGGAATAGAGAAAAGCATTACTCTTATAGAACTGGAATTTTTCCCAAACAACGCACATCCTCACAAACATCGAGGACACGATGACATCGAATTGTTCTCTGCGAAAATCACAGTATCGCCTTGGGAAATAACGAGATTCTCGCGACAGTATAGACTAGGGGTCGGCACGTTGTAGTACAAATTGCCAAACTGTTTATTAATTAAATAAATAATATCATAACGGAAAGAAACCGATACTGCAAATGAAAAGCGCCTAATCTACGCCATTATCGTAAGGGGTTTTTCTTACACTTCATTACGGGTCGCTTTCCTGACAGGCACTATTCAGGGTGGAGGGGGGAGAGAAGAATTCGGGCACTCTTTGGCGGCGAGATCGGCACCCCATCCACACATCTCGCGCCTTAAGCGAGTACGAATCTTTTCCCTCTACCTCCTGTAACGCAGGCTAAATTTACCTTGGAACCCATTTCTGCAAAAACACTCGTATCCTTTCCGCAGAGGATCGTTACACTGGTGATCCGTCACTGCGTTGTAGTTGGTGCAGACACCTTGCCTTAATTGCTTGCTACAGAGGCTCTGGTTTTTACATTCATCAATATCAACCTCACAGTGTACACCTGTTGTCCATTGATCACAATTGCATCGGTATGAACCAGGGACACTAACACACGTACCACAATTGCAAGGATTACCTGATAATAAAACGTACAAACACACGATATGACTCAAACGTGCTGCAAAACTCAAATGTTCAGATGTCAGGAGACAAATCTGTCGCTTACAAGAAACTAGGATCAAGCTACGAACTAGGATAGCATGTACGTATTTCTAATAACAGCAACTATCGAAGGCCTTAAGGGTGCCTCCTTAACCCTTTCAGCAATTTTATCCTAACAGAATCCATACATCATCAAGAGAAAAGATTATGAGAATTATGGGAAAACGCTTTGAACTTTTAACAAATTCGCTGAACTAATTCTTAAAGGAAATGAATGTAGATCAGTCTAGCGAATTTGTAAGGTAATGAGGCTTGAGAGGTTAAGTCGTCCTCAAGGGAGAAAAGGGGGCACTTTGAAGGCACATGAAGTTGCCTAAATAACCCCTATTAATTAAGTAAAAAGTTTTTAACTATGAAGTACCCTTACCATTACATTTATTTATGTCAGAGTCACAAAATTCTCCAGTGAAACCTGAAGTACAACTGCACGTGAATGAGTCAATACCATCAATACAAGTTCCGTTGTTACAGTTATGTGACGGACAGTCGTCGATATTGTTCTCACAATTTGTGCCATTAAATCCTAGTGCACAAGAGCAGTTATAGCCATCAATCCCTTCAACACATGTTCCGTTGTTCTTGCAAGGATTCGAGTCGCACTCTTTGATTTCCAAATCACAGAACTCTCCATGGAACCCGGCTGGACACTGGCAAGTAAAGTTATTAACACCATCGATGCACGTGGTGTTTGCAACACAGGAGTCATTTTTGCAGTCGTCGATGTTCACTGAACAGTTTCTACCCTCAAATCCTAACACACAGCTACAGAAGTACGAGTTCCCGGCGAAAGAGCAGTTCGCGTTGTTGTCACAGGGATTAGGATGACATGCATCTCGCACTTTGCCGCAGTCGTCGCCATAAAACTCGGCGGGGCAGTAACAAGTTCGATGATTGATACCATCAACACATGTAGCATTGTTTTGGCAGGGATTAATCACGCAGTCATCGATGTCGACATCACAGCGATGTCCTGTAAATCCTGCCGTACAGTTGCAGGTGAAGTTATTGAATCGGTCAATACAAGTGCCATTGTTGAGACAAGGGGAAGAAAGACATTCATTTGTCGCAGTTTCACACCTGCAAGACATAAGGACTAACAACATGAGGATTGATATCATCTGGGAACATGATGGACGTGGTAGAACAATTGTTCTTAGCAACATTTCACATTAACTGATGTACGTTGCAATTTAGCTGACAAACTTCCCAGAATTGATAAGCATCCGACCCACCAGCTCTTTCATAACGAACTTTCTGTTTCGAGGTATTTGTACTCAAGACGTCACGTCTATAACGCCACTGTGAATATTAATTTGAAAAATTTAATATTGGTATTCTACAGCGGTTTAAGTACAAAGCTTGCGGGAAATCACAGCTCCGACTTGACTTGACTTAAAAGGAGACATTCACTGCAAAAAATAAATGAAAAGAGCGATATTCCATTTCCAATTTGGCTTCCGAAAAGGCTATTCAACAGAACAACATGCCAGTGAAATTGCAGGAAAGCAATATGACGATAATCTATATCTAGTTGTGGAATATTTATAGAATTTTCGAAAGTATTTTTAAACAATTCTTAGTTAGTGTAATATTTTAAACTTTCGAAGTTGCAGGATTCATATAGTTAGCATGCAACCATTTTCGTAATTAAATTTCAAAACTTTTTTCTATACATTGTAAACCTTAGCAATTCAGTCCATGACTGCTAGTAAGGTAATCAATAAACCATTCTACTTCTACTTCTATACATCTGCCTCATGATCGATGACTCGTTATCTTCGAAATATCACATCACTTATATCAGCTCTCGTGTCTTAGGGAATATTGGAATCATTTCAAAACTCACACACTATCTTTCTATTCACGAACTGGAACAAAGTTACATCAACCTTGTATGGCCTTAATTTTCATGTGCTGTAAAAGCTGCAAGGAAGTAAGCTTCAAAAACGCACCTGCAAAAGTTGCAATCTAAACAAACTACGGTCATGAGGTAAATGTTGTCTACGACTACAGATGAGTCACAGAAAGCGCTGTTCTCGTGTCCCAAGTATTCTGCAAGTCTTAACAGTAAGTACAAAAATGTAATGTTTACCGTTTCCATGCTTTGAAATAGACGCATATATGGCATAAAGGGCTCTTGCATGCATGTTCAATATTCCAGAAGTCGGCATTCACTCAATACAAGTCAACACAAGTAAGCATCGTAACAAAGAAAAAACATCTGCAAAAAATGTCCTCGAAACCAAGGAGGTACACGATAAGCCATACATTTTTCTTATCTTCCTTTTTCTGCTTTCAGGAAGCACGGAACTCAAAGATACTTTTTAAGTTTACCAAACAAAAGGCAGTCCTTCAGAGCAGTTATTGATTGAAAGTTGCGAAAAGTTGTTGCAGAAAGTAGAGAGTAGTTCTACTTTATACATCAGTCAATTCCACCTGGGCCCAGTCCCCGCCCCCGGGCTACTGCGGGGCATTTGCCCGCCTTGTCAGTCCTGGGGGTGGGGCATTTGCAAATTTTGCACTGCCCGGGGGCCGGGCATTTGCCAACCCCCGGGTCATTCCCGAGCTTTTGACACCTACACGGTTTCCTATCAGAATATAACTACACAGACTTACTGGAAAAAAAGCAGATTGGCTCATCTGTCAAGGACAGGAATAAATTGTAGAGGGTTGTAAAGGCATGTTCTCGATTTTACATGTATGTAATGCATTTCTTCATTGCTTATCAAGCCAGAATTACGTAGCGAAATTGGGGCTATCGATGTGAATCAACGTTTTTTGGTTATTGAATCAAATTTCTGTTGATATTATTTGAAGAACACCCTTTCATATTTATAAAAAAATTCATAACATATAACTTTACAGCGATCTGTTAATTTTAACGTCAATAATTTTATATCAATACTAAAACCATAAACTGGTGCATGTCGTTGCTATTACAAAGGAAGACGTTAATTGAAACAAAAAATCGCACATTAAAATGCTTAAAATGGCACTATTTGACCGTGCGATCAATGAAAGTTGTTGCAGTGTTGACGGAGGACGGGGCATTTGCCCTCTTTTTTAGTTCCCACCCCGGGGGATTTGACAGCTCAAGAGTCCCCACCCCCGGGAATTTGCCATCCAAGGTAAAAAAAAATGCTAATGCCCGGGGGTCAGCCTAAGGGGGGGCTGAGCGCAGGTGGAATTGACTGATGCATTAGCAACAAAATCTGTACAAGTTGCGACTTTTATCGAACCAAGGAAACTTGTTTTACCAAAAGTGACGTAACTCCGGGGTACGGCGTGATTCCCGCGTTATTTTATCCAATCAGACGACGGTTTTCACACAACCTGTCACAACTTGATTTGTTGCAAGGCAGCTCGTTTTGCAGCAATGTTTCTAAAAAAGTTGCACGTTTTTGTCGCCCGTTTTACAGTAGCTTTCAATGAAGACTGGATGAGCTAGCGAACGTGGATGCTCCTTTTTGCTGATAAGTAACATTTTTCCTCTCTATATCCATATTGTCCACTGCGAATATGAAAGGTGAAAATGTGTCATATGTTTTCCCCTAGTCTGTTTCTTTTTGCCCTCTTTTTCAGCCGAATACAAGCAAAACCAGTCTTGTTATGAACTCCTGTTATTAATATTATGAACAGCTCTGTATTGCAGCCAGTTAACTTGGTATAATCTTCGTTTATTGACTGAGTTACTGGTCAGGCCAGGTGGGGAAATATTTCATTGGCTCAAGGACAGCCGGTCCGTCCTGACCGAGAGCCAAATATTAGGGAGCTTAAGCAACAGCGTTTTTGAGCGACTGACGTCGACCGGAAGTAGACTTTTTGCATCATTGGGCAGTGGTTTGGTTGAAACTCTCTAGTAAATCGTTTTTATAAGAGAAAAGGAACTGAGCAATACAAATTTGTTAGAGTCAAGGCATATATATAGTGAGAAGGCCTCACTTCCGGTTGACGTGCGTCGCTCAAAAACGTCTTTACTTAAGCTCCCTACCGACCTAACTCAGTCAATAAACATGTTGTCCTTTGACTGTTGTGTTTGTGTATTTTTCCGATGGAGCAAACCTGTGTCAATGAGTACACTTTTCTAGCAGAGCCTGATACGCTTTTCCAGCCTTATCACTCGATGTGTATGTCCCTCATACAGGACTTGTTTTTCATGTGGTTTATCAACAAAATTGTACTCAGGGCTGCACAGGTCATATAATAATAAAATTAAAATATTATTCCTACCACTATTCCTACCTCTTACCTCTGCTGTCTGGATCAACACTTGGCTCTTTCCTGTTGGTGTCCATTTTCGTGAGGCCTGATCTGCAGTTATGGAAGTCACAATGACATTCATTGCAAAAGGAGACTTTATTTCTTTGGTCCTGGTTTTTCAAACATTGGAGAGCACTATGCACTGGATAAATCACCATCAAGTGGATAAGTATTAGGAAAACCAATATTGCATTTATCCACTGAATAAAGATACATCCAGTGGATAATATTATCCACTTTTCAAACAGCTGGGTCCTGTATTTTGGCCTTGGCAACGTGGCTGTTACAAAGGAGGGTAAAGGAACTTGGTACAGCTGGAAAGACTCTCCAATTCAAGTTATTATTTCTACACAGGACTCTGCTTCTTTTGATTGGTTAATACCCCCATTTCCCCCCCACAATGTTGCACCGCTTATTTGTACCCATCTTGCTTGTGACACCAAAAGAACTTACCATCTTGCTCACAAGTCAACATTATTTGGGGAGGGAGGTAGCATAGTCAGTTCAACCAACGTCATGTTAATTGTCCCATATCACTTTTGAACCCTCCCCCCCAGCAGATCAAATGAACTGAACCACTTAGTTACATGTGGTCTTAAAAGAGAAAAAACTTAGAGGATTGAAATTTTTAAGAACTCAATTAAATCATGCTTCTAAATACCTAAGGAGAAATTGTCCCTTCTTAGGCCCAGTTTACAAGGAGAGAAGGTTACCCTTGTACTAGGGTTACCCCATAGCAAATGGGTTAAAGTTAACTTTGGTTTACAAGCCAATTTCACAGGTAGGGTTACCCTATCACTCGGTCAACTTTACCAGCTTTACTGAAGTGGTGCGTCATGTGTGACATTCTTTGTATTGTCTAAGATTTGAAATAAAAGGAAGTTCTCTAATGAAAACACAATAATATTAAGTTCACAAAATAACGGGAAAATATTATCATCGTATACAGAAAATACCTTATATTGTTCAGATGTTTATAATTTAGCTCAGAATTGGATAATTCCGTTCAAATTGTCAAGATTACTCAGGTCATGCATGACAGAAGAAAGTTGTCCTTGTAGGCTTCTATCTAGGGTATTTGAGAGGTGGAAGCCTCCTCCCCCCCCCCCCCCCAAAAAAAAAAATGTTGTTATCATTACGGTATATAGATAACTATATTGGAAAAATCATCCAGACACGAAAAGGTCATTGCACACACTGTAAAAATTTCTCAAAACTGTGTCTCAAAATGCACCAGATTGCATCTCAGAGCATATTCCCCCAAACCACACTAGGAAGCTCGTTGCCTTCGGCCACTCGGGACTTCTCCCCCAAATGATAAATCCTAGATAGAACCCTCCCTCGGTAGGCGAGTTATCCCTAGCAGAATGTTTTCAAGGCAGGTAGGGTAACCCTAGCACTCAGGTAGGTTACCCTTGTGCTAGGGTAATCCTACCTTTCTGGTAGAAATGTCATGTAAAAAAAGGCGAAATGTGCAAGTGCTGGGTAACCCTAGCACCAGGGTTACCCTCCCTCCTTGTAAACAGGGCCTTAGAAAGAACCATTGTATGATTTTCATTTGCTCAGACCTCTAAATGTAGACTGTATAAATATTATTACAATATATTTTACTATTGATGTTCTGTTTTTTTTCTGCTTTATAGGGCTTCCCATCCTGTCCTTCTTAGTCCACTCACAACAGCATCCAACAGGTTCTTTTTCCATGAAACATCACTAATACAAGTTTCAAGTGCAGTAGTTCCTCTTACTAGTGGTTTTGATTTAACATTTAGAACTTACAATGGTGGAGTTTTGTTCAGCCAAAGGGGTACAAACAATGGTTTCTTCACCCTTGAAGTTGTGCCCACGGTGGTGAACTATTCACATACTCCTACATTATTTATTGCCAGTCGCCTCAGAATGACTTGGGAGATAAGGGACCGTTCATTTTTTATGGGGTGGGTGGGGTGGTGGGATTTGGAGGAGTGTAATTTGAAAATTGTATGACCCCCCCCATTTCCGATTTTTTTGGATGCCCCCCCCTCATCAGAGTAATTTTTGGAAGGCCCCCATGAATAAAAAGAATACATAAGGTAAAAAAGTTACATTAAAATTTCGTTTTGTTACATTTCAAATTTAGTGAAAGAAAGCAAAGCTAAAAGTGTTTTTAAAAATCCTCACTCAAAGAATGAAAAGTCAATTTCAGCTCTTCTTGTTACTGCTCGTTCTGAGCGTGTTGTAGCTGGCCGCTCGTCTACATATTCCTCGTCTGAGGCGATAAAAGCAAGAACGACATCATTTGAGCCGTCTTCAGAGTCAGGGGCATCACTCTTGTAATCATCGTCAGTTTCTTCTCCCTCATTGCTTTCACCACTGCTGTCTAGTTGACCTGATTCATTGCTGCCTCTCACTTCGGCTTGACCTGTTCTGAGAGTATTCATCTGCAGGAAGTGTCCCATAATTGTCTTCACTTTGTCATTCTTGCTGCTCTTCTGATGCTGTTTTAATAGCTCATGATGTTGTAAGTATTTGTTCAATTCTGGCACACGGAGCTTTTTTAGCTTGGCGGCATCTTCGCACAAAGTAGCCCAATGATAATCATCATAGGACTTTTCTCTTGCCTCCCTACTTTCCCTTGCCCTTTCCCCCAGTCTCTTCTCTTTTTTAAACTCTATGACCTCAAGATGCTGGAGATAGTCAACCACAAACTTTGGTTTCACAACGAATTTGTCTCCAAATCTAGCTACGGTACGGAGACTGAACTACGTTATAAAAGAACACAGAGAGGCTGTTGAGAAACTGAAAGGGCAGTTATAAAAATTCTGAGTGATCATGAGTCCACGCTCTTCCAGGCGAATGGCATTACCCTGAAGCCTCACAAGAAATTCCACCATGACTTCAATATGCAGTACATCGCTAGGATTGAGGCAAAGCAGCTCAAGGTTTCAGGGGAATTAGAAAACCTCGAAAAAAAGAAGGAGACCTTTGACCAGGTCTTCAAGGGCTTAACAGGACACTATGTGTCAAAAAAAAAAAATTAAAACAAAACCGTAGGAAATCAAAGGGCAGAAAACGCAAACGGTTTGAAAACAACGTCCTACGCGTGTATCATATCTGCGTTGCAAATCCCCTTACAAAAGAGCTTCCCAATTGTCTTCTTTATCCTCCCTCCGTGACAATTCCGGAAGCGTGCTGAGTGCATAAACGTTAAAGATGTAGCAGCATTGTTGCTCACACGGGATGCAGCATTCATCGCTCACCTACTGCAATCAAGCTACTTCAGCAACGCGGCACAAAGCAGGCTTATTACCAACCTTAAGCCAGAAGTAAGAAACAGGATGTATTGCTTCCTGCATCCTGAAGATTATAGCTCAAACGTCGGAGACACAAACAAAGAGGAAGAAGAAAACGACGAAGAAGAGGAAGAAGAGGAAGACAACGAAGAAGAACAGGAGGAAGAAGAAGAGGAACACAGCGACGACGAGATCGAAGAGAACGTCGAAAATGAGGAAGGGGACACCTCGTAGTAGTTTCATGCCCCTCCCATTAAATTTCTCAGAGAAAAGCTCTGGTAACGAGGTCAGTTCCAATTCAGGACTCAAATTATTGGTTTTAATTATATGAGCTTGACAACAACATTTTTATGAATGAAAAGAAAGTTGTTGCTATTCAAGACTGTTATTATGGTATGTTCACTGTCCTTATAAAATATAAAAGCTGTTGAGAAGTTTTCTTGTTACCCTGGAACTGTTTTAGCATATTTGTTATAAATAAAAGAGCACAATTTTTCTTCCATTTGTAAACATCTCTTATCCTATTTTTAATCTAATTTTTTCGTCCGACCCCCCCCTTTCCTTCATTTTTTTTCGGCTGGTCCCCCTTTTCAAGCCAATTTTTTTCGAGTGCCCTCCCCCCAAAATCCCACCAGCCCCTCCTCTCTCATAAAAAATGAACGGTCCCTAAGTGGTACAAGACAGTTTGTTACAGTAGGAACAAAGCTGGATCAGAATTTTAATTATAAAGTGGAATTTGTTGCTGGAAGTGGATCAGAGCCATAAATTCAACGCTTACACTAACTGGTATATCATCTGTTGATGTGCCAAATAGTATTTTCGGATTTCGTAATTCTGGTCCTTTAAGGGCAGGTCAGCCCATTAGTGCAGGGCAAGGATTCATTGGTTGCATTGGAAGTGGGACAAACGTTCAACTCAGAGAAAGTGGACCTGGGACGTTTTTTGACATTAAAAACTGTACTCTTGATAACCAGCAAGGATGCCCTGATAAAGGTTAGCATCAGTGACAAATTTTTTGCATTATTATTCATTCAAAATATTTTCCATATCTGATTGGCAGAAATCCCCCAGCTAATTTTATTCTTCATATAAAGCAGCTGGCATTTTCCAAATTTGGAAGGTGTGAGCAACATACATTGTACAGTTCCAGTTTCAGTTTCAGTTTGTTTATTTACCAGAAAAAAATACATATACATACAGACATCCAGTGACTAAAATGTTAATTAAAAATTAAACACACATGAATTATAAGTTGTAAAAGAATTAAAAGTATTTTTCTGGTGAGGAAGCTAAAATAGAAACCTTGGGGCTTATTATATGAGCCCCCTCTCTAAGACTAAATATTATGAATAAATAAGGGGCGAAATCAAACTGAAATGTAATTAGGATAAAAAGCAAGCAAATCAAAACAGACAAAAAGCGGCAAAAATCAAGTACTATTTACAAGTGGTGAATCAGCTAAGATCATTGAATGATGGTTTACTTGCTTGGAAATGAGGTTGATCAATGGTATATTTGTGTGGAAACGAGGCTATTTGGGAAACAGTTACACTGGATTTATGGGTCTTTCTTCACGTAACGTCATCAAAAAAGAAACAAAGGAACCAAAATAATGTTAAAGTTCTCCTTGGGGCTTTATTGTTTGGTTGTAATAGGGAGCTTAAGCAGCGACGTTTTTGAGCGACGCACGTCAACCGGAAGTGAGGTATTTTCCCTCTTAACATGCCTTGATGATATAAAATTTGTATTCCTTAGCTTCTTTACTGTTATAGAGGCGATTTGACTGAAAATTTGTTTTCCGGTTGACGAAAAACGTTGCTGCTTAAACAAACAAAAAAACACACGGAAAAGCGAAAGAAAACGAGCAAAAATATTAGAGCTATGAAAACGGAATCCAATAGAAAATACATAAAGAACCTGTCCACTTTAGAACTTACAAATGATCAGGAACCAGCCTTTGCTTGACTGTTTGGAAATGGTCCGGTGAGAGTCGGTACCCAGGGGCTCTTCCGCTCGTGCTTGAAAACTTTCCTCGCGCCTTTTCTCCCGACCCGACTGACTGCCCTGGGTCTCTGAGGATGCAGCACGTATGGAACGTTGCCATTGCAATTTTGTAATTTCACATGCGCAATTATAAATTAATGCTGAAATTTAGTGCTAGAATTAAGGAGTAATATGTCACCCATGAAATGAGATTGATAACTCTTCTGCGCATGTTGACTTGCAGTTTGCCCTGCTGGTTTTACTGGAGATTACTGTGAAATCAACATTGATGATTGTGCACCGTTTCTATATCATCACTACAGTACATGTAAAGACCTCATTGGTAATTACAGCTATGTATGTGGGCCTCGCTGGACTGGCAGACACTGTGATAACTACTTAGGACCTTTATGCAATTCTTCCCTTTGCCAAAATGGAGGCCACTGTAGAGAAACTGCCGACTTGAATAACTACACCTGTACATGTGTTCCTGGTTACACTCGGAGGAACTGTGAAGTCTTATTTGATCCTTGTGACAGTTCCCCATATCAACAAGATGGAACATGCTCTAAGCTTGGAAGTGAAAATTTCCAGTGTTCCTGTCCATCAGGTTAGTCTTCAATTACCATTTAAACTGTTTTAAACTTAGATACTGTAACTCTTCACTTGGCTGTGTTCTAAAAAACGGCCCATTTTGTGGTTATTTTTCACGATTTTTTTTTCTAATCATCATTTGTCATCAAAATCACCTCCGAAACTGAGCAATTTTTAAAGAGTAATCAGTCTGGTATCAAAAAATGTCCGACCTTTTGACTATGTGTTTCTGTAATCAGATTGAAAAATCAACTGAGCAATCATCGATTTTAATTTTCAAAAATGGTGACATTTCTATTTTTGCCTTTCCTTTGGCAAATCAGTTATTTTTTTTTGGCTGTGGCTATATGGCGTCTGGTAGGTCAGCGGAAGAAAAAATCAAATTTAGAACCAATTTTGTGCGCGGGATTTTTGTCCCCACACTAAACCATTATAATCATTTCAAGGGACAAATTCGCGGAAAAATCGGCCGATTTGCTGTTGGAATTTCGCGGGTTTTCAGGGCAAACTTCACCAAAAAAATAGCAATCGGTAAAAAACGGCCCATTTTGTGGTTATTTTCAAGGCAAATTTCGCTAGAAATCAATCGGTTTTGCGCTGATCAGACCAGCGTTTTAAACGTTTTTCTAACAGAGGTCATCCTTTGCTCTTTCAACAACAATATGCTCCAGAAATGAACCAATGGCAAAGCCTTTAACATTATGGCTAGTGCCCAGTTTTTCACGACATAATCTACGCCTGGTAGTTTCGGGACTTTGTTTGCACGTTTCAGTGACGAGGTCCTAAGATAAATTTGCAAGTTTACGGCAAGTAAATAGCCCCTATAGCTGAAATAAGTTCAAATATGTTGTACAGACATGTATTTGATAAGATTTCTACCGAATTTCGCGGTTTTTGTGGTGTTTTTGTGAATTTCGCAGGATTTTGCGGCTCCGCGACTGCGCGAAATATCAGAAGCCCTGTAATATTGGCAAAATCTCTTTATAGCAATTCCATATATTTTTCTCCTTTGTGCAAGTCAAACTTTTTTAGTTTTTGACTTTAGACCACTGAGCTAAGAATTTTTTCTGTGCTTTCAGGTGATCAATTTCTCTTTCTTCTTTAAATTTGCATACAATTTGTTTCTTAACTGAGAGTTATTTAACAATTAATGAATGAGGCTGAGTATCTTATGAAGAATTATGGAGATCGAGGAGGGTGTTATCCGTCGAGGCCGTAGGCCGAGGCGGATAACACTCTCCGAGATCTCCATAATTCTTCATATGATACGAAAGCCGAATTCAATAATTGTTTTATTATTCATTCAAAATAATTCCTACTTTATATCTTATAAACATGGCCAAAACATGCTAACCTCCATCGATCCATCGATGTTAAGTTCATCTTCGATAGTGCACGTTTAGGTTTGTCCAGCTCCGCAAATATTCTCCAAATAGCAGAGGTCGCCCTTCGAGTTGTCTTCTTGCTGTTCTTGCCATGTTTTTAGCTATGGTTTTGCCTAGTTCTTACTCTTGAAACGAGTGAAATGTCCGCCATTTTTCAAGTTCACAATCAAAACAACTCAACCTCGTCCCCAGGTCTTCTCAGTTAACGGTGCCTTAACCTTCGAAAACGCTGCATTTTTGACGTCATTTCCTCGTTAAACAAAACAATTCTTCCAAATTTGGTGATCAGTAACTGGTTATGGTGAATTAAACGAGCCGGCTTTTAGCCAATCAGAACCTGGAAAATATTTTGAATGAATAATAAAAGAATTTAATGATTTTCACCCAGAGGCTGTCCGTTGCTTAAGTATCATCAGGAGTGCTCAACGACCAATTTTTCAAATAAGGTTTATTTCGTTTCCGAACAACAAACTGACACCTTTGAAGCGGTTTATGGTTGATAATTAACTTTCGTGGGAAAAAAATAGCCGCTCCTCAGAGCCAGCAAGACAAAGTCCAAAGGATCCCTTTTGCCAGCAAACAAATTCATTGAGGACCATAATCCCAGCCAGGAATATTTTATTTGGCATTGCTTTCTACCAGCAATGTAGGATGAATATACTTTGCCAGCCAGCAAGTAGAGAAAGGAGAAAAGTGATTTTAACTAAATTTATTAACATTTACCGGGCGGAAAACTCTTCGTTATCCGATGCTTAGTTCACTCCGGTTAATAGGCCATTTGCACTAAGAGGTCATGTGACATCGTTTTTATGAAAATGAAAGTTATATGATTTTGCCTTCAAAAAACGATTAGGGGGTCATATCTTAAACAAAATATTAGTGATTTGGTTTTTCAAACCTGCACCATTTCCTTAAAATGAGTAAGTTCGTAGCTGGTCACGTGACCAAAATGTGATTTTAAAATTATGAATTACCTCTTTCTGAACACAAATTTTGCACTTAAAGTTCAAGGGAAATGTTGAAAAGATAATGTGGTAACGTTTACAGCACATCTGAGCGTAACTATCAAACGTTTAACAAGATATAAGCAAAAAGTAGTTTTGGCCGCCATGTTGGAGGGCAAGAGTATGCCCTCCAACATGGCGGCCAATACAAATCATACTACTTTGTTGAAAAATCAAAGTGCCATAAAATATCTCCCTTAAATGCGTTTCCTCTCAAATTTCGGGTGTAAGATAATTTTTATGTGCTCTGTCAATTTTTGGCATGAGCAAGATTCCAACTCATCGTTTAAAGGAAGCATTGGTCTCGTGACCTCTTGGTGCAACTGGCCTATTCGAGTATTCGTTCAGACCGCTCACAACACATACAAATACAAAACTGGTGTACGATGTATCAGCTGCACTAGAGTATTTCAATAAGAGAACCTTATCAACTGTGCTAATGTGAGACAACTATACTTATTTTGTTGGTCACTAGCAAAAAGTGAGTTAGTAAGCAAGTATTAGTAAGCACTTACCGTTACAAAACAATACTAGGCTGTGATCCCCAGAAAATGCGTACCACGATTCCGAACGAGGAAGAAATAGCGTTAAAGCATTCCAGTTTGGACAGCCAGCTCAAAACTTCCGCCGCTCTCTCTCTTTCTCTCTGGACGTACCGGTCTATGCGCAAAGTGAATGAAACAGATGATTTTACACTGATTGACAGCCAGTTGTCAGATATTGAATAGAGGGGCGTAGAAGAGTTTTCATTGAAACAGTTTCAGATGTCATCCTCACGTCATATGATCGGCGTTGTACTGGGCGTTAAATGCTTGAAGTTTTTCCCAGCAAAGCGATAAAAAAAGAGCGTGTGAGCCAGGAAGTGGGCGTTGTGTGTCATCTCCCAGCCAAAAATAATTTAGGTAGAAAAAATCGCCAGCAAGCTATTATTCTTAACTAATTCCCAGCCAAATTTTATCTAAGATGCCATACTTCCCAGCCAGCATCACGATGCCTGAGGAACGGCTTTTTTGAATATCGGCTCCACTGAGTACTCCTGATAACGCTATCCAGCTTTTTGAACTACCGAGGCCTCTAAAATCAATAGATTAAATACCTCGGTATTCAAACCTGGCTTCTAAAAGTTATACTCGATTTTTGGTATAGGTTTCTTAATAAGCTGAGCCTCGGCTGTTCAAGGGCTGGCTAGTGTTATCTACCGGATAAATTTCCATTCAGTAATATAGAGAGAATGTATGAGAACCGCTCAAATTGCCATTTGCAACCATTTGCAGGTTTCCTAAGAAATACAGTAAACCGGGAAGGAACTGGGACCCAGTAGACTCAGCCAGTCTCAGTCTCTCGCAGATGTAGTTTACAAGATGGAGGACGTTTGCAGCGACCTAGACAAACTCACCGTTGCATTTTTCGACAATCTCGAGCTTCTTCGCGAGAAGCGGGAACATCTTAATGGCGCAATAAGAGACGGACATTTAAACCTGTCAAAGGCACGTTATTCAATGGGAAATAAGTCCGTGGGCACCTTACAGTACAGCCACAAAATGGACTGCGCTCTGTATCATGTTAGAGATGATTTTCCAGATGAACAACCCGTAGAATCTTCTGTTGCGTTTGAACTGCTTAAAACTTCGCCCGGTAGACATATTGAAAAACCTGAGAGTGTATCTGATGATATAGCTGAAACGAAAAGCTTTATAAGGAGACGAAAACCCGAAAAGAGGGACAGCCCTGGAAAGGATGAAGATCTAGAAACATCAGCTATCGAAGAATTTAGTCTCTCGAGACCGAAAGAAACACCAGTAGCTAGTTCACGCAATAGTTGTGTACAAGATCCAATCAAATGGTTTGGAATTTTGGTTCCTGGATGCTTGAAAGCGGGTCAAAGAGATTTTCAAAGGGCCATTGAACTGAGCTGTGAGGTGGTTAACCTGGAAGCAAAAGCAAGAGAAATAATCGGCAAGTTCGAAGTTTTGAAAGTACGAAAGTTAGAACTTCAGTTGGAGGAAGATAAAAAGCGTCCAGGAATTGAAGCCTAATCTTGTGTTCAAAAGTTAAAGGCAGGATATATCTTGTGAAACGTTTACTAAGTCTATATATATTGTTTAAAGAGAGGTAGAGTATTGAAATATTCATGAGTATTCGGGTACCCGGTGAATACGAGAAGAAAAAGCAGGCAGGTTGTCCCATTTGTCGGAATGCTAGTAATACTGAGAATGCCTGATGACCAGATTTCTTAATGTAGCTAGTTCACAACTTTTCAGTGTGCTCCATCCTTTGACATTTGTAACATGATGCATGCATTTTACATGAGAATAACCGTAATATTGTATTGTGTAAATGAATACAAGTTATCAAAGAGACAGGTGATTCTATTGAAATCACTTAACTGTTAGCACCCAGAAAAAAAAAGAAAAATTTTTTAGCACCCAGAAAAGAAAAAAAAGATTATTTTTTTTGTATTTGAATTTTCAAATAGGTTCCTTCTGAGCACCCCTTTTAGTCATGTTACTTTCCCTAATCTTTGAAAGGCAATAGCAACTGTTTAAATGGCTCGCAGTTGAGATTATCACAAGTGTTCATGGAGAACTTTCCGGCATGAGAAATCAATAATAATTGATTTCTCCTCATTTTTCTGATTGAAAAAGATGCAAGGTCACCGAGTTATTCTTGGTAGCCTTTTTTGTGAGTTTTGGGCTCATTGGCCAGAAATGATTTTGCTTCTCTGCCATCCACCAAAATATAGCACATAGCTAGCCTGGTATTGCAATAATAATACAGTGAAACCCCTCCTGACAGACACGGACAGACACAGACAGACAAACAGTTTGTGTGGTCTCAAAGTTGCCAAGTGTCATACAACTTCTGGTCTGTAATACAGACACCTCTGTGATAGTAACACTTAGTCCTATCCCTTTGGTGTCCATATGAGAGAGGTTTGTCTTAAAAAGTTGAACCTCCAGCTCTCCTTACAGGAACCAACTTATTATGGTGGAGATCTCTCTCTTATGGACAGTTCGGTTGACTGTAGCATGTTTGAAGCTAGGTAGGGGAAGGAGGGGGTTCTCCATTATAATGGTCTTACTGCGTGGGAAATTTGCTTCAGCCAATCTTATCAGTATGGAATTTTTGCACTTGTTTCTCAGATGTCATAATATTTTTGCAGGAAAACCATTGGTGGCGTCGCGACAACCTCATTCCCAGGGTTCTCTCCTACCTGCCCTCTCGCTCCGTAGGGCAGGTAGGAGAGAACCCTGGGAACGAGGTTGGCATCACGAAATGTTGGCTGTTTTCTCAGCCTAAAATTGAACCACAACACAGACACATGTAAGCTACAACTTCAACCTGGGATTAAGTTAACAATCTTTTAAACAACCGGGGTTAGGATTAAGAATTTTTTTCCCAGAGGAAATGATGGCATTTGTTATTACAAAATTAAAATTGGAAATTTTGTTGAATTTTAAATTTGGATAGCACTATGCGCTGGATAAATCCACAGCAAGGCTGTGCTCCTAGAAAAACTGAAGGGGGCCCATTGCTCTGAACCTGTGAAATCCAGGGTGCCCAGTGTATGATTTCTATGAAAAGAGCTAATAGATTTTCTAGCTGTCTGGGAATAAAAGTTAGGGTCCACTTGGTGCTGCTAGAACACGTCTTGTCCAGTGAATAAGTGTTAGGGAAACCATTGTATCATTAATAAATTACATAGAGATTCATCGCACTAACCATCTTTTGAGCAACTACATTTACATGTAGAGCCTGGCATATGGAATGGTTTCTAAATAGTAAGAGGCAGCGCTAGATTTCTCTCACTTTTAATATGTTGTGGATGAGACAAAGAGGCTTTGCCTGCACACTTCTCACTACTTTTAAAATCAAACTTAGTGTCTACACACTGGAAATATTGAGCTTTCATCTGGCTGGATAGATGCCAATACACCTGTCAATGTCTTGCCCTGGAAGGGGTGGTGGAGGGAGGGGAGGCATACCCATTTTTTGTAGTGGAGCTCACACACCCATGAACAGAACCCCATACCTAAGAACATTTTGGTTATCTATCCATCCAATAAATTTTGGTAGCCATGTGACTGTCCTTCTGTCCACCTGTCCACATCACAGGGCAACCAATATTGAATGTCACACTTTCTAGCCAGTGTGGGAGTGTGCAACCTGATATTGCACATACATGTTGTGGTCATTGACAGCTGTCCAAACAGGGTATCCTCTGACCAGTATCACATGATCATTTTGAAGGCTCAGGTATCAACCATCCAGGTTATCTTTTTTTAAGTTCTCTGTTGACAAGTTCCTAGTTTTCAACTGATTGCTTGCAGTGGATTTCTTTGCAGTGTTTCCAAGTTTATTGTTTGAAGTAATTATAAATTTATTAATAGGAGCTTTGCCTTTAGCCTTGGCTAAATATGTCAAAATACCCATTCTGGGCAAGCTGGTAGACAAATTGCTTACATTTGACAAAGGTCAAATTCTACATGGTTTAAATAGTTTCAGCTGTTTTCTTCCACAATGTTTCTGCAACTTTGATGGCATGGTCCCACTTTTGTTGTGTTTATCAACTGTTTCTGGAAGGCCAAGCCATTGAGTATTTATTCACAAAATATATCAAACATTTTGAGAATGAATTAAGTCTCTTGCTGTCATCTAGCTAGCATTATCAAAAGAGCCTGACCCTTTGATGTCAATAACCCTTGCAAATATTCCCCCCACCCCCTCGCTCTCCTCCTGGGCAAGGCATTGATAGGTGCATAACAAAGAATATTTTAAACTTCCTCAAGTTTCCACAGAGAAAACCTTTCGGAATCAGTGTATACAAAACAATCCTTTTGCTCATCTTGGTTTTTTTAACTCTTCAGCTAACAGCTGCTGTTTATTTAGCAACTAAAGGTCTCGCCAAAAGTGAATGAAATTTTATTGTGCAAAGATTTCATAAGTTAAAAAGTCTATTTCTTGGCAGCTGCTTGCTTGGCTTCTTCTGCCTTCACTTGCTCATGTTCGTTGATAAGTTTTTCCACTTCTTGTGCTCCAAGAATCTTGATTTTTGTTCTGCCATTCTCTCGTGTTAGGGTGGAAAACTCAACTAAAACAGAAGAGAATCGAGCTTAAGAACAGACTGCACAGAAAATGTGTATTAAATTTTTAATACATGAGACTTAAAAAAGGTAATATTATTCTCTTTACAGCAAGTAATATCTGTGTTGGCGATAAGATTTACTTTTCTTAGATATCATAATTTTATGTGTCAACATCTCTCATTCATGGTAGTTACTTATTAGTAGAAACAATGATAAATTAATGCTCATGACCATATGATACAAAGAGTCTTGAGAGACCTATGGAGGGGGACAGCATTAACCCATTAACTAAGAGTACCTCATCTTTTTTGCATGAAGTCAAAGGCACTCATTGTCTATGAAGACAATCTGGAAATACTTTTCTTGCTCTGGAAAGAACAAGGTCATATCATCGAGTCATGGGCCTTCTAGTCTGAACCATTGCTGGGCCTCTATGCACTGCACACTTTAGGTAAGTGCAAAATGTTAACCAAGTTACTGTGTGACTAGGAAGACTTACAAAGTGTCCACTTATCACTAGGAACTAACCTTTATCAGGAGTTAGTTTGGTGATATCCAGAGTCTTATCGAGCACTTTGACGGCTAGTTTCAGAGCATCTTTCAATGTCATTTCTCCTTCTTTGTACTCTTGTTTAAGCATAGAAACTGCTGCCTACATTGCAAACAACAACAAAAAGAAAGAAATTATCATAAGATGAAAAGTGTGTAAGACAAGACTCCGAGTCCTTGGAAATGAGGTCAAACTCACATGACTGAATCATTTTAGTGGCTGAATGAGTTTACACAGCATAGAAAAAGTAATGCAGTTTATTGAGCATGTCCAAGGTTAGAGTTTCTCTCTGTTGGATGTGCTTTTTTCGTGTTGCATGGAAGCACGTCAGTGATTAGTTATCATTCCAGAGTTCATAAAACAATAAAATAATTTAATACTTAAAATAATACAAGGAATGTTCAGATGGCAGAAAACAAAACTTCTTATCTTCTTATCCCTGATGATGCTGTTAATTGGTAAAAGCTCGGATAATTTTTAACTTTTAGTTTAAATAAGGTGTAAAGCTGCTTAATTAAGACCTCTCTTAAACAATGTTTACTCTCAGAAGCTAAAGCCACTTTTATCAATTGACAGCTTTCTGAGCTGCCATTTTAGTGCCACTTGACACCAAGGCTTAAGCATTCAAGATAGTGCTGAAAAGGTATACAAAAATAATAGTACAGGGAACCCAAGATTATGAACTAAGTTCTTGCATTGTCAGAGGAGTGCCCCTTGAATGTACACTGTAGAGTATTTAATTACATGCTTAGCCTGATATAGGTATGACTGCTTAAATCTCTGGACTCGATCAACTAAGGCTTTTTGGATCTCTATGGTGGAATGTAGCCTTAGATCTCATAACGATTCCCAATTGATTGCATGATATGCTAATTAAATGATGGAAAACTCCGTACACCTTGATCATAAACTTACCACACTGTTGTTTCCAATGCATGTTGCCTTCCACCCACTATAATTTCCACTAGGGTCACTTTGATACAACTGAAAACCATAATGTTTATCCCATCCCATATACAGAATAGAAACACCAAATGGTCTCAGACCTGGTAAAGAAAGACAAGGTGGAAGTTCCTTGTAAAATAACACTTTTCTAACATAAAATAGAACAGAACTATTGATTGCCTTCTTAAACAAACACATACAGAAATGGGTTGCGAGAGGAAATTCATGGGATTTTGCCAGGTATAATTAACATGCACTGTACTTTTCCATGCAATAATATGTCAAAAACAAAACAAAAAACACAGTAGTGAAGCATTGTCACAATTGTTCTGATATTACCAGAGGGAGAACTAAATTAATAATACTTTTCACAACATTTGGAGCAACTAAAACATTACCAAACAACACTCATTTCAGAGGGTGCACATGTAACACGAAGCAATTTTTTTGCTGAAATCATCAAAACCTGGTTTTCACTACCACACAAGCATGACACAAACACAAGTATGAACGTATTGCATAACAGCATATTAAGCAATCATGACAAGAAGCAGAAGCATATTTGATCCTGGTGCTTGGATCTAGGGGATTTTAACCTTCTATAGGGGTGTACTCTACCCTTGTGCACTTGGCTGTGCTAGTGGTGCTACATTACCCCTGCAAGTTATCCTGGGTAGAGTTGTTTGAAGGATGGTTAGTGCAAACCTAGGGTTACTGTTACATGTGTATTGATCAACAATATACTCATAATATACTCTGTTTACAGTTGACCCAGGATTAGAGCTAATTGGGTTTTGAACAACTCTGTCCTGGACATCACAGTTGCAATTTATTTCAAGCAGGTAACTGATAAACTTAGACTAGGAAGATGAGGGATTAAGTGATCTCACCTCCGAATTGTGTGTAGGCCTGTTTGACATCACACAGTGAACTGACTAACTGTTCGCAGGGAATTGCCTCTTGAAACTGAAGTAAATATCTGCCAAAGGGTGAACCAAATTACATGGCTTTAAAATACCATAATGTCAAACAAAACTTATGTGGCACTTTAAAACTGTTACTAACTGGGTGCTTAACACTCAGTAAATTTATTTAAAGCGTACAAAAAAGAGAATGATTTGTATAAACTGCACTTAAGTCTACTATCTTGAAGATAGACGCAGGTAACCAGTGAGTGAACATAATTCATTATTAGTATAACATGAAACAGAATTAATTGAATAATGTAGAGCATGCTGATTTTTCAAGCATTAACCATTCAAAAGGGCATTTAATTTTCCCAACTAAAACAGTGGTCAATTTTTAAAAATGTAAGTAGCACATTGATGTAATTACAAATCCATTAAGCTGAAACAAATTTTAAAATAATATTAAAGGCCAGTTTACACAATACAATGTATTATTTGTTGGCACCACTTTATAAAGAAAACATTTGACAAACACATACCATTATGACCTTATCTTATATTTTAACCCACTATTAAAATTTGCCTTCCCTTTGGATAGAAGATTGGGATGATAAATAGTTTATTGATAATTATAATGATAACATGTTATAAGGGCACATGACAGATCACACCAACAACCTGTATTGTGCAAACTAGCCTTAAGGTGATTCCCTGGTTTTGCACTGTGCATCTCTTACTGCGCATAACAAGATGGCCTCCGTAAAAAAGAGCATGTGAAGTAACATCATTAAAATGAAGTTGACCGAAGAGAAACGCTATTGCAATTTTTGCTTGCGGTTGTTTCTTGCCGAGGTGAGACTCAGTGTGGTGGGAATGTGCATGATGTAAGAAGTAAGCGTGTTGCTGAGTTCGACTTCCTCACGGAGAACCTCGATAGTGGATGTTTAATTTGTGCTTATTCACTTTGACTTTCATTTAAATGCTTTCTTTATCACATTGTGTCCTAAATGTGATATCTCGATGTACATTCTGTAAAAACGGATTTTTTAATACTTTCTTCCCCCTTTCGCATACATTCTATTTTGAAACTCGCCCCAGTCCTCTCTCAAAAATCAAGGAAAATGCATTTGGCGCGCACTTTCTGCAGCTCTACTGCGAAAACGAGTACGGTGACCCCCATTTTTTATTTCATGATTTTAATAAGGACAGTGCTTCCTTTCGGTGAGAAAAAAATTGGCACAAATCTATGTTCAGTTTTTTGGCAATTTTACTAAATTGTACAGATTGAGCTATCACGGGTCGAATAGCGCGTGTCCAATTTAATTCTACTTTGGAGCGTAAAAGAAAAACAAGGGCATAAAAAGGCATTTTTCTGGTACGTAAGTGGATAAACAATACATTACAGTCAAATTCTGTGCGATACCACATGCATCATTGAAAAAATCTTTCCTTTTTGTCTAGTTTTGGGCTGCGCGCGGTTTTTGTTAAAGGGTCCAAAATAGCCGTATTTGTCAGCATTGTGACGTCAAAATGAGCACGGTGACCCCCACTTTTTATTACCTTTTTATCATCTTCTTGACTCGTTACATCAGTGTACCAAGTTTCATCTACAATCTATGTTAGGTTCTTTTACTAGGGAATCACCTTAAGTGTGGTTGACAGTACCTTTGAGCTATAAGTCTAAGTTGGTTTGTGAGCACGTTAGCATCTGATGTTATACCAGCCACACTGCAAGCCAAGTCGCTGAAAAAAGAATTTCATAAACGCCATACGCTGTTATAATCATATTAACAAAACCATACCAAAGACACACGTGAAGTTGTAGTTTAACTGCCAGTATGGCTAGGTATTACTTCACAGTTCCTCTATTGTGAATAAAATATCACATTACTTTTCCACTCTGGATGGATAAAAAAATCTTTTGTTCACCAGTTACTACACTTAACACTGAGGGTTCTCAATAGGATTTGGAGTAGGCATCTGCCCAACCTTAAGTAGGCAGCTGTGACAAACGGAGGGACTGTAAACTAGGGAGGGAAAAGCAGCAAAGAGAATGTAAAGTAAGTGGCTAAAAAGTCCAAAGTGGGCGGCAATCAATCGCCAGGTGCCGGCTACTATTGAGAACCCTGAACACTACATAATTAACACTATTTCTCTCACACATCCTGCAAACAACATATTTCTTAAAAACTTACTTGTGGAGCTTGTAAATCTTTTCTGAGGCAAACACTTCATCAAGGAGTTTATTTGTATTTCTCCTCTCTGCAGCCAAAACAATACCATCATTGGCTAGGATCCCCAAACAAATGCCAGCATGACCAACCGCCTCCATGGCATATTCCACTTGATAAAGTCGCCCTGTTTACAAAGGCAGCAAATCACAATGAGAAATTTCATAAGGATGAAATTCTACAGTGACACTATTTAAAGGAGACAACAAAATACTACTACTAATAATAAAATAAATAATAAAAATAAAGAACACCAGAAAAGACTGTGACAGAAGAGATAATTTATTCAACTTTCAAAATATGTACATAATTTACAGGAATATTTGAAGTAAGAATTAAGTACTATACAGCTGTACAACATTAAGAATTATATAAATCATAAAAATATAATCACTGTGTCAATAACAATTTCCCAAATACATTCCTTGCGGCTCAGAAGCCATCAATAACTCTTGCAGGCAGTCCAGTGTTTTAAAGTAAGTCATGAGAAAAGAAAATTATCAGTCTCTGATATTGAAAAGAAAACAAGTTAAAAAGAATAAAATATCGTATTCCTAAATTCCTAATTCTTTACAAAAATTCATAAAAAAAAAGATTAATTCAGGCAGGCTCTACTGCTATCAATCTGTAAATAATAATGATGATAATAATAATAAAGTAGGAGCGCGGGACCTTTGTCTCTGCCACCTTAGTTTATAAGAGGGAGTTTAAGCAAGTTGTTATCATGTGTTCCTGTCCTCAAAAAAAGTGTGAAATTAGGCACTTTCACATTATAATTGTGCAACGACAGCAAAGAAATGTACAAAAATTGTAATGCACATGCAAAGTTGTTGTTTTGCTAATATAAACCTATTTCTTTTTTGCCCTTCTCATTGCTGTTGCCATGGTCATTACTTAAGCTCCCTAAGGTCTGATAGGACAAGAAAGTCAGAGAATTTTAGACTAACATAGTAAGGCATTATTACCAGAAGTACACTGTATGGTGGGCAAATAGAACTGTTTAAAATAGGAATTGTATCTTGGAAATCTGAAGAATGATAGGAAAGTTTGCCATACAGTCTATAAGGTTTAATACAAAAATGTAACAGAGCATCGACAGACTGGTATAGGGACTTACAAAATAAAGCAACCCTCTAAAGTATAACTATTGTTATTATTACCTTCAGGGGAGAATATCGTCGTTCTAGTGTCGTAACGTCTGGACTATAAACAGAAAAACCGATGATAAAAAATGTGCAAAAATAGTTTTACTCAAAAATAATCACATCTTATTAAAATAAACTTGCAATAGAAAGTAGAGGTTCAATAATCCTTTCGTCAGACTGACACGAGATCATTCCAAGCAGTTTGAGGAAAACGTTGATGGTACATGAAATTCACCACAAAAATTGAAAAATACTCGCTTAGGATAAATTATTTACAGAGTTAATTTAATATATCTGTTTACAAATACTGAAAAATAATGAAAAGAAGATAAAAACTGTGCAAAAGAAACAAAATTTACCTACCATTTTGATAGAGAATGACAGTGCACGCTGCTCGGATGGGAAATTGGAACCGATACCTCATACGCATACTCTTGATGAATGACCGCTGCTGACTTGCAGACTCTTACGTTGCACCACAACATTGTAAACTGTGCGATTAAATATTGTCGTGGAAAAGCGAAAAAGGAATGCGCAGTTTTCTTTGGAACTTTGGTGAGCTAAAATCATGAGAACTACGACACCGCAACATCTTTGTGAACTTCAGAAAAATCCGAAAAATATAAGAAATATTTGTATTTTGGCACATGTTGACCACGGTAAGCTATAGTCGTTAATTTTTACACGTGCATATTTCTTCTTCTGGCTCGTGCGCCATTGGTTTTTCTTGTTTGTAACGGTATTGTTTTTTGTCTGTTTTCCGAAGGTAAAACAACGATAGCTGATGCTTTGGTCGCCAGCAATGGGATCATTTCACAGCGACTAGCAGGCAAAGTAAGGTTCATCCCCCCCCCGGTTGGGAGCGTGTGTGGGGTGGGGTGGGGTGGGGGTACTTTACATACAGGAATGTAAAGGTTGGGATGTGGCGCTGGGAGCCCGGAACACTTAGCCTATACCAGACTTTCCTAGTTCAGCTGAATCAAGAAAATCTCTCAAATCTCTCCCTAACCTAGTGTCGCCATTATTTATTTTCCAGAAATTACTGAGGTTGATGTTTTCTTTGCTATTATTCAAACTGAGACTGGCTGACTTTATTTTTTTGAGTGTCAATTCCCAGTTTTTCTGAGTCTAGACTAAAATCATCAACCAATTGATCAGTTTCCTGGAAAATGATCCCCTATTCTAGACACAAACTCTCTGATTTCTATACCCTGTGTCAAACAAAATTGCTTCAAAAACCATACCCTTCACAGTGGCCCATACCTATATAGCCCATATATGGCAGTATATTTTAAGTGTCATTGTTTTAGAAGAAAGTTGAGTTTTAAATTTAGTTTTTTTCTTTTTCAGCTGAGGTACATGGATAGCCGTGAGGATGAACAGCTCAGAGGAATAACAATGAAATCAAGTGCCATCTCTTTGCTTTTTTCCAAAGGTTAGTCGATTATAGCTGTAGTACATCCTTGGAGTCCTGGGGGCAGTCACTTGGATCAGGAAAAACAGCAGCAAAAGTATTCAAGAACAGGTGAGAGAGCCCCAGGGATGCTACTCTTAAAGAACTAGTTCTGCAACTCATGCCCATTCAAATGCTTGTCTGTGATTGATATTTTTTGTGCCCAATCGGAGGCCAGTTTCTATTGTGCTGATTTTGTGATCTTGTTGTATGTAGAGTTTACCTGCAAGCTCGACTGTTCGCCGTGTACCTGTCTGGCTTGTGCCGTTGAGCTTTCTTCAAGAAGAGTTGTCAGTGAAAGTGGGCCCCCCCAAAACACACAAAAAACATAAGTTAGCATGTTAGTAAAACAAAGCAAAACAAAAAATGCACCAGCTGAAGAGATCACACTGTGGACCGATTGAAGGTAAATTCGTAAACACTAGTGAGAGTACTTCTACAAATGTAGGCTTGCTCATGCAAATCTGAAAGTTTACTCTACCAGTTTCATTCTATTCTCTTGTGTCACTGAGAAGAAAAGTTTAACAACAAATTATTTTATAACTTAAAAGGGCGAAAAAATTTCTCCTACACCTGCCTGACAAGTGTGCTGAGAAGGCCTCAACAGCCACGCACATGATTTTGCATGAAAAAGCCTAGAAGTACACTGGTGTATACGAAGTTACCTTTGATCAGTCGGTAGTCCAATTCATTCAACTGGTGCATTTTTTTGTTTCGTTTTGTTTTGCTAACATGCTAAATTATGGGGTAAAATTTCCGTATGACCCTATACATTAATTTATAATTATGGTGCATGTTTCCACTCTATTCATCCATATCAACTATTTGTGTGAAATAGTATGAAATTGCTGCATGCATAATAAATGTATGAGGTTATAGTTATACGGAAATCTTACCAATTATGGAATTTCTTTGGTTTCTTGGGTCCCATTTCACCAAAAACTCTTCTCGAAGAAAGCTATCTTGCACAAGCCAGACAGGTACGGCTAACAATCGAGTTTGCGGGTGAACTTCTTCGTAGAGGAAGATCATGAAAACAGCAAATAAGTTGTGGAACTGGTTCATTAAGAGTAGTATCCCAGGGGCTTTCTTGCCCGTTATTGAAAACTTTTGCTGCCAATTTTTTGTGACCCAACTGACCGCCCCTCAGTCTCCGAGGATGAACTTTAGTATTGATGTGGGACACAAACCTGGTATTGAATTTCTTGCTTTTTTTGCAAGCTAGTATTAATGTTTGCAGGACTCTTTTTTCTAAAATGCTAAAACTACAAAACTGAATATTATCTGATCTCGAATCCCCCATAATATACTCTATTTGTTTCCCAAATTTTGCCTAAACCATTGTTTTCAAATCCTTCTGGGATGACTACATACTCCCAAGAGCATGGGGGACAAACAGTGTCTTATGGGAGATAAGAAAATAGTCAATGCATGAAAATAGAAGGAATTAAGATTACACTGTAGAGACAAATTGTTTAATGAATTAAGTAAATTATTTGTGGTTAAAGTGAAAACTAATCTTATTTTGTATTCTGTGTGCACACTGTAATATTGTTTTTATTAATTAAATCCTTGTTTTTAGATGAAGAAGAATATATAGTTAACCTGATTGATTCTCCAGGGCATGTTGATTTCTCAAGTGAGGTAAAAAAACATAAATTATGCTGTAACACACTGTTGAATTTGTTTTAATATCAAGCTGCTATTATTTTTAACATTTCTTTACTAAGTACCCTGTTTCATTCCAATAATGTTACATTATTTTTATTCATACTTGAAACTCAGGTCTCAACAGCTGTCAGACTTTGTGATGGTGCGATTGTAGTGGTGGATGTAGTTGAGGGAGTCTGTCCACAGGTTTGAACATGTACTTTGTAAAATCCTTCTTACTATCTAAGTATTCATGTCCCAACCAGTTAGCATGTTACTGCTGGCTGAGAGGTTTATTTTTTGTTGTATGATAATGATGATGATAATAACAATAATATTATCATCCAATCAAACACACGGTTTTTCTGAGGGAAACACTCTTGGGTTGCTGTTGTTGTTGTTATTATTATTACATTGTATTATTATTTATTGTTATTATTATTATTTTTATCATTATTATTATTGTTATTATTATTATTATTAGGTGTGCAATAATTATAGCTTACTTGGTAGTGGGATCATTGTAGGAGACAATATTAAGAAGTAATTGAGTACCAAATATTTTCAATGCTTCTTTATAGACTCATGTGGTGCTGCGTCAAGCTTGGCTGGAGAATATTCGACCATGTTTGGTGCTGAATAAGATTGACAGGTTGATAACAGAGCTAAAGTACTCTCCAGCTGAGGCTCATTTTCACTTGCAGCAAATTTTGGAAAAGGTAAAAACCTTTTTCGATTCACAGTATAGCATCAGTACAATCCAAAAAGCCAATTTTTATGATCTGCACTTAGTTAATGTAAGACTACATATAATGTCCTAAGCCACACCCACATAATTGTGGAGTGGGTTGAGTTGTGTTCATCAGTGGGGGAGGTGCAGTGTAACGCAGAAGACGTAGTCTTCAGAACAGGTCAGCAAGTAACTTACCCCTGTTTCCCAGTCCCTTAGGACTCTTCACTATACAATGGAACCTCGATTTGACGAACTTCTATACAACAAAGTCCTCAGTACATGTATAACGAATGATTTTCTTCAGCGCGGTGAAAATTATAGTAACTTAAGATGTATGGAGCAGAACCTCGATTTTACGAAATCGTCGTGGTAAGGAACTTAATCCAGAAGCACAATCATAAAATATACCTCGATATAAGGATTAAATGTCAACATGTGATAAAAGATGAATGCGAAACAGGACAACAATGATAAAATTTATGTGTACGGTAGTTTTAAGCAGTTTTGTTGGCCTGTTCTTGAGTTTCTAATGCTGTAGCTATATATGTAGCTCGGTACTCAGACATCTGGATGGCCAGATCCTGGAATACCTCGATATAACGAACATTTTGGTTGTTTTTTGAATATTTGTTAAATTGAAGTGTTCAATGTAATGAACCCTCAATGTAACAAACAAATTTCCCCAGTCCCTTGGCACTTCCTTAAATCAAGGTTCCACTGTGCTGGGATTCCACTGTTTATAGGATGCATTTTGAGTTAAGGGTACCAGAAATGCAAAATGTAATTCAAGAGTAACAAACTTACTCTCCTATAGGTAAATGCCATAACAGCTGCTCTCTTCACCACTGAAGTTTTAGAAAAGAGATCTGCAAAAGCTGCTCCTGAAAAAGATACTTTAATTGGGAAAGCAATAAAAGATGACACTGCAGTGTCTATTGATGAATGGAGCTCAGGGCTTGAGGAGACAGATGATTCAACTCTTTACTTCTCACCAGACTTAGGAAATGTTGTGTTCAGCAGTGCCATTGATGGTTGGGGGTTCAGGTTAGGCAAGCCAGATAAGCTATATTCCATTGCTTTTAATTTGACAAGGCTTTGGGAAAAAAGAAAAAAAAAACATATATGTAAGTTTATGTATTTAGCAGGTGCAGTGCACAGCCCTCACCCATGAACAATAAATAAAAATAAATAAATAAAAACAGGTATTTTCTAGTTCATTGTTGAATTCCAGCCAGGATTGAAGATGAAAGGCTTTTGAACAATGATATGGTCAAATAACAGTTTCTTCTATTAAATCATTGATGTTTGTCAGATCAAGGTAGAAAGAAAATTTCAGTTGCCATTGGGTTTAAAAGATCAAATTGCCATTCTGACCAGGTCCTCTCCAATTTCTGTTATTTTTTAAATTTTGTACAGTACTGTGTAATGTGTAAGGTGTCCCTTTGTTTTAATTAATTTGCTCTGTATTTTCTTTTCAGCATCAGTGACTTTGCTAAAATATATGGCAGCAAGCTTGGCATTAATGAAAGCATTCTCAAAAAGACTTTATGGGGCGATTTTTATCTTCACACCAAATCAAAGCGTATCTTTAAAGGAGCACAGGCCAAAGCTAAGAAGCCACTATTTGTGCAGTTTGTGTTGGAGAACCTGTGGGCTGTGTATGATGCTGTACTGAGGCGGTTAGTTGTTGTTTTGCTTGGAACTAAGCAAAGTCTCTTTCTTACATGTAACCCTGTTGCTCTAAGATTGATTCAGTTGCCTACCCTCCCCTCCCCTTACTAAACATTTTGTTTTACTGTAACTTGCAGAAAGTTAGTGTTAACTTTGGGTTAGGGGAGGGGTAGGTGGGTAGTTTCCCAGAATCTTACCCTGATCCAGTGAGTTGAGGTGAGAAGATGATCTGTCATTTTAGCTTTTGTATCCAAAGAAGAAATCCTGTGGTGACACCTCTTTGGCAGAACATTTGCAGAGTCTATTTAACCCTTTAAGTCCTAAGAACAACCAGCATCAATTTTCTCCTAACAAAATCAATACATAATTAAAAGAAAAGTTTATGAGAATAAATAAAATAGTCACCTAAGGTAAAAATCTTTGGTCTTTGAACAAATTCTCCTAACTAATTCTGTAAGGAAATGTATGGAGATCAGTTTGCAGAATTTGTATCTGGATATTGTGGGGTTAAATCTTAGGGTTTGATTAAAGGATTTGTTTTGAAATTTTTACTTTGGTGACCATCAAGAATGTCTTTTAGGAGTGACATTTAACTTATCATTTTTTTTACTCTAATTTTTTTGTTTTGTTTTGGTCAATGCCTATAAATAATTTTTTGCCTGCCTTCACATGAACTTTCCCTTTGAATTCTATTTTTGTAGCACTATTTTAGACCGTACATGTTTGTATTATCTATAATTTCATCTGATGTCTACAAGAAGACACATTAGAAGTGGCTTGAAAGGAAAACTAGTTAGTGTTTCAGCTGGGTTTTTTAATTCTTTTTTAAGTTATTTTTTTATTTTGGTGTTAGATGAATCGCTCTTTCCACTAGTATTTCTTTAAATGACCATTTATTCCAGATGAATTCAAAGAAAAATTTCCTGACATTTTCAGCGTGCAAAGAAAGTTGTGTCCGATAGTCGGGGCGAGTGGATTTTGCTATTGGGCTAGTGATTTTTGTTCTTAACTTGCCCAACGGGCAAGTGCCATTTTTTTGGGATAGTTAAATGACTTGCAGGCTAGTACATGCTAGCTACAGCTTGCCCAAATGGCAGGAGACTTTCTTTGCACCCTGCATTTTGGGTGATTAAGATCGCACTCCTAAATATGCTTCATGATGCTTATTCTCCCTTTTTATCTTCATGCATCATTAATGACTTCAAAAAACCTTTTAATTTGCTGTTTTAGAGACAAAATCAAAACTGAGCAGATAGTGAAGTCACTGAATCTGAAGATCTCGGCAAGGGACAGCCGACACAATGACAGTCGTGTGCTTCTCAAGGCCTTGTTTGATCAGTGGCTACCTCTCTCTAGCTCCTTACTGTCTATGGTAATAGACAAACTTTCAAGTCCAGCTGAAATACTCAGTGAAAGAGTGGAGAAGTTGATGTGTAGTGGTGTCAGAACATTTGACTCGTTACCTGATGAGACACAGAGTTTGAAAGATGGTGAGCTTAGAAGGCTGTTTAGTTTGAGCTTTTTAGCCGTAGCCCCTAATTTATTCTGTATTTTTTTTACCTTATCTGTCTCCCACCTTTTTGTGTCAGACATGCATGTAAAGTTCCTTCCTCATGGAATGTGTAAGCATTCAAAGAGCTACATATACATTTTAGCAATCAGGTAACAAAGAAAAAGAATATAAAAAAAGCATTTTTTTTGTGAGTTGCCCAGGTGCAAGGCAGGATTGTAGCTAATTTGTGAGAGGGCTACAATCTTATTAGTTTTTATAACTGTGCAGTGCTACCCTCTTTAGATAAAATGTCCTATTAGTTTGCAAGTCTGCAGCTACCACATGCAAGGTTATGGTTTGCCCAGGGCCGGACCAATATTCTGATTGTCTGGTATTAAAAAAGGGACTGCCGTTTCTCTGCAAAAGGCTAGACCTTTGCCCTCCCCGGATGGACATGTAGGAATGGCAGTCCCAACTCCAACTGGGGACAAAGTCTGTGTCCTTCGATTGGTACTTTGATTCGTGCTAAATACGTTGACACTTTATAAAGCAGGCCTTTTTTACTCGTGTGCCACGGTATCACCATCAGCCACTTGTCAAAACTTTCTCTTTTATGCTTATTTTAACTGTATGTATATCTATTTATTATTTTATTTTTAGATTTCCTAGCTTGCTCCACTTCTGATGATGCGCCAGTAATCGTGTTTATTTCCAAAATGTTTGCTGTCGAGGATAGTGCCCTGCCAAAGCATCGTAAGAGGTAAAGAAAGACACATCTAATACACTAGTTTACTTGGGCCAACTTTAAGTTCATAACTCCTTGATCTTATACATCTAACCAACAATAGTTTCTGCATCACCAAGAAACACACACCCCCTTGCTCCGAGAGGTTTTTCTTCAAGTATTCGATTTACCCTTCGTCTTAAAAAAAAGAAATTCCAAATTCCAGTTTTATGTGTACTGCACGAACATTTTCAATGACTCAGTTCTTCAGGGCTCTTAAGTGTTTTATGGGTGAATAAATAATTACGGTCCTCCTAAAAGTAAGTTGACGGTAACTCGATTCTCGATTCTCGACACTCTAAACTTATGGCAATTGAGTCTCAAGTCTTGGGAATCAAGTCTCGAGCTTGAAGTTTCGAGTTTTGAGCTTCGATTCGAGAAATATAATTCAGTTCAGTTCAGTTTATTGTTTTGCCATAAGATGTACAAAAAGAAGAAAATCTTAATATTTAAAAAGCTAATTGCGCGGAAGCCCAGGGAAGACCACCGGGCTTATAAGGAATGGGCTCCCTCAGTTAAAATTAATTATTACAACAAAATATAGAAAGAATTATGCATGCAAAAATAATGATAATAATAATGATGATAATAATAATAATAATAATAATAAAATAAAATAATAATAATAATAATTATTATTATTATTAAATTTTATACACTTGGACACCACGCTTGTCGGCGGACAATTAATAACTTTTCCTTTCTTGGAGTTAATATGTTCTATTACGTCGGTATAGTTGAACCTGCATCATTGTTGTCCATTTCTTTCGGAAGGCCTTTGACGCAAGAAGAGATCGCTGCTCGGCGCGAACAAGCGCGACAACGACACGCGGAGATGCTGGCGAACAATCCCGCCTTGGAAAATGGGACTCCTCTCATCTTCGAGTCAACTTGCGAAGAAAGGAAAGAAGATGAAAGTAATGATGTGCTGGCAAAACAAAAAGCAAACAAACAGGTCCCGAAAAGTCATATGCTAGCATTTGCCCGGGTCTACAGTGGGACCATTAAAAAGGGGCAGCAGTTGTACGTGTTGGGCCCTAAACATGACCCACGAGAGACATCGGGCGTGGAATTGGGGGGCTCAAAAGGACAGGAGCAAAGGTAGCGCCTTTTCTCTCCAAATTTCGTTCCTTGAACCTTTCTAGTTTTTCTTTGTCGTTTTAGTAACTTGTTACTCCTGAGGTTATTTAAGAATTCTCAGAATTGCCTAACATTTGCTGCATAAAGTGTCGTGTATTAACACATTTTTCCTTTGTTCGGTCAGACAAGGAAACTCAAACGGATTCAAAAATTGTTTGCTCTGCTTTAAATCTTGTGCGTTCTTTTCTTTTTTCTTTAAGGCCGTCTCCCTCTTCATGGCCTTTGTAGTTCTCAAACTTATTGTTCCTTGCAAGTTAATGCAAACGTTTCGTCATAACGTCTAGAGGTTTTAGAGCCCTGTTCACCCATTGAAAGAAGAACTAGTTTGGATAGAAGCAAAGCATTAACGTTAAGACACATCGCTCGAAAATTAAACTTAGGCACTGAATGGGAAGTAATTGATGTTTTGTCCCTTTTTTCCTTGAAACAGTGATATTGAAGAGTCAAGCGAGGGACTTTCCATAGCTAATTCAGTTGACAGAGGCACAAACCAGCACGTGCAATCCTTCACTGTACAAGATCTCTACCTTTTGATGGGCCGCGAACTAGAGACGCTGGACTCCGTGCCGGCCGGGAATGTCCTGGGGATAGGTGGTCTTGAAGGTCACGTGCTCAAGTCGGCTACAATTTCCAGCACAGTCACGTGTTCTCCTTTTACTGCACTTCCGATTGAGGCTCGTCCTATTGTGCGTGTAGCAGTAGAACCAGTTCACCCGGCCGACATGCCAGCGTTAGCCAGGGGAATGAGGCTGCTTAATCAGGCTGATCCTTGTGTTGAGACTTTTGTACAAGAAACAGGTAAGCTTTTGTCAGTCCACAAATGACCTACTCGTCTCTAGATTTCTTAGTAGCCCACTGTTTAGAGCATCCGAAATAATGTCTGTCGTAGGTCCAATTCCCATCTGGAACCCAGAGCTTTTTTCTGAGTTCTTCTCTCCACCCATCATTCTATTTATTATTTTCTGTGGTAACCAGATTTAATTAGTATGTTCAAGATAATTCGGTCTTTTGAGTCTGTGGATAGAATTTCTTACCGTGCCTATTTATTCATATCAGTGCTACGACTTATTAGTGCCTTCCTGTGGTTATTTAGATAAAAAGTTATAAATACTGTAAGCCTTCCAGTGGTACTGTCCATGACACTATCCAAATGCCGTTGAATATTCGTAAGCATCATATAAGGCCATGTTAAAATGCAAGCGTGTCAGCTCGCGACTAGCCTGCGCCAGGCCCTCAGATATAAGGGACTTCGCATGTGGGGAAGGCAAGCGAAAAATAAGACGTGCGATATCTCGGAGCCTGGCTGGTTCGTAACGGTCAGCTGATGAAAAAGTCCCCCCTCCACCCAACCTTACCTGTTATGCTAACTTATAGATAGATGGGAAAATTGTGGCCTCCTGTATAAACATCTCGATTTTTTTTTTCAGGAGAGCACGTGATCGTAGGAGCGGGTGAGGTCCATTTACAGCGATGCATAGACGATCTCAAGCAGCGATTTGCTTGCATCGAGCTCAACGTATCCTCCCCTATTGTTCCATTCAGAGAAACAATCGTCCCACCCCCGACAGTAGACAGGGTCAACGAAGCCATAGTTAACGAAACAATTGTACCGCAAAGCAGACAAACGGACCCAGAGGAGACAGGAGAGGAGAGTAAAGATATTCTAAACAAAGAGAACGGTCTCTTAGAAATCCGGACAGCCAATAAGCTTTGCTCTTTACACATCCGGGCTACACCCCTCCCGGAAGAGGTGGTTCGGTTGCTTGATAAGAAAAGCGAGTTGATAAAAATACTGGTGACAGTTTCCTCTGCGTCGAGTGCTGCGGAACGGAAACAGTTGGCCTCTCAAGTGAGCGTTTCCACCATGGAAGCGTTAAAAAGTTTTTATCAAGATTTATGCAACGCTTTTAAAGAAGCAGGAAGTCTGTGGGATGGAGCCGCAGACGATATCTGGGCATTTGGTCCACGTAGGATTGGTAGCAATGTGCTACTGAATAGGATCCCTGGTTATAGACGACCGTCACTGTGGCATAATGTTGGTCTGTCAGGTACATGTATGTTTATACTTCAGTTAGTTTTGTACGACTTGACATCAATTCATTAATTCATTTTTGGTTTACGTACAAAATAAATTACTCGTTATAACTAGACCCAAGAATTATCTTGTGTGAGACCCTAGTATCGTAAGAAATGGTGATCCCCATTTTTGTCTTAAGAATGATTAAAAATTTATCTTCTAAACTTTCCCCTCTGTAGAAAACCCGCAATAAACAACCCCAACTAGGTGAAAAAGCTAATCACTAAAATGGGGCTTTTTCAAAAATTCACCCTAACCCTAAACCAACCCCTTTCCCCCTGGACTCAAACAAAAAGCTGGTTTTGACGAGCGACGCAAACGCAAATACAAGAGAACACGTGCGTGTAGTTACCTCAACGCAAACGCACACTGGCGTATACCTTTGTGTTCATTTACACGTGTGAATTGGGAAAATGCAAAAGTAAGCGCAAACTCAAGGTGTAAATTTTCGTCCACCATGTTTAGCCTACGTGTTGCCGCACCCTCCCCCTGAGAAAGGAAAAACGGAGAGTGGGGGAGGGTGCGGCTACACTTAGGCTAGCCATGTTGGGATTCTGGGTGGTCAAATGCGCTTGCGTATCTCGCTGTGAAAGAATTCCTTGCGCTTGTGTTTACATCGCTGGAGTGACCCTAAGAGTTTATTTGCTTTTTCCTCTAGGAAATGCGTGTCAGTTACCATCGGAGCTTAGTTATCGGGATTATGATAACAGTATAGTGAGCGGTTTTCAGTTGGCTACACTCGCGGGCCCTCTCTGTGAAGAACCATTAATGGGCGTTTGCTTCGTTATTGAGAAATGGATCTCACTGGAGCAAGACGGTCTGACAAGTATGACTGGTAAAACAGGCTCAACCGGTTGTGCAGGAGTAATTGGATCAGCAGGGCAGCAGGGTTTATTTCCTGAGAAGGGCAGTGTTGATGAAACTAACTTAGAAATCAGCGAAAACGTCAAAAGCATGGACAAAAGTTGCGAAGGGAGAGATAAACATGAAGAAAAGAACAGCTTTCTTAGTGAGGATGCTTCAACAAAACCAGGTTATGAAGATAGTAGTGAATATAATCCTCTGCGCCAAAAGATGGATAGATTCGGACCATTCTCAGGGCAGCTAATGTCAGCTGTCAAGGAGGGTTGTAGGCGGGCGTTTCTGCTTCAGCCAGTTCGCCTCATGGCAGCCATGTACACTTGTGACATTCAAGCTACGGCCGAAGTCCTGGGCAGAATGTACGCGGTTGTTGCTAAACGAGAGGGACGGGTACTGAAGGAGGAAATGAAAGAAGGCTCTGACGTGTTTGATGTCACAGCCGTACTTCCGGTGGCAGAGAGTTTTGGATTCGCTGAAGAAATAAGAAAGCGAACCAGTGGACTGGCAAATCCACAGTTGGTGTTCAGCCACTGGGAGGTGAGTAGTTACGATAACATTAAACTTTTCACCATAGCAACCAGAAGAATTGATTTGTTTAAGTCAGCTAAAGTCAAAATAACAATTTACAGAAAAAAAGGGGGCACATGCATATACTGGTTTGGAAGAGAATTTACCACGGGCAAGTTCGAAATTACGATAGGTGTTGTTCCTTGGTGTCACCAAAGGTTTTTCGTATTCTCTGAGTAGCGTACAGCTAAGATATACAAGAGGTTAAAACAATGGAAAGTTAGAAAACCGTCATCTCAAAAAGTGGTCGCAGTCGCTTACGAGAGGTAGTCGTTCACGAGGGGCTTCAACCATAGAGCAATGACTGAAAAACATTTTGTTGTCATGGATAGGTGGTGCATGGTTATGAGAGGTTTTCGCTCACGAGAGATGGCCGCACAAGGAGTTTCGACAGTACTAACATGTACTTAATTCCCGCTAGGTTGTGGATATTGACCCCTATTGGGTGCCAACCACGGAGGAGGAGTACACCCATTTTGGCGAAAAAGCGGACTCGGAAAACCAGGCGCGAAAATACATGAACAGTGTACGAAGAAGAAAGGGTTTGTATGTGGAGGAGAAGACTGTCGAGCACGCAGAGAAGCAGCGGACATTAAAGAAATAATGACATCAGACGGAAAAAATTCGAGAAGTAAGAGTCGGCGAATGCTGGTAACATAAATGTCTTAAAGTGCTACTACGATCAAAACTTTATGTTAAGTTTGACACAAAAACGCGTTCTTTTCACCTTGTCAGTGTGGCTGTACCTATCTTAGTCACTGAAATGAACTCTGGGCGCCTCTAAGTGAAAATAGTGAAGTTGAAAATGTAGGGGTTTTGGTTCGCGTCCGCCATTACAAATTTATGTTCCAGTGAGCCCGCGGTTTGGAGTTGCGGTCATATCAAACAAACCTATCGTTCTCTAAGGCGACTTCATGTTATTAACATACCTTTTAATAGTGGATCTCCCTAGCAAGAATCCCTTCACCCTTAAACTCCGAAGTGAGACCATCGTTGAATTTCTCCCCACAGTTACACTGCTCAATCAAACCTAAAGTCGGGAGAAAAAAGGAAATGATCAAGAAGTCAACGAGGTCTTTACTGTTAAACAAATTCTCCTCATGAGTACCAAAGAAAATGTATGGAGAACAGTTTGGAGAATTTCCCTGTTGTTATTGGGATTAAAGGGTTAGATAATACTGATTGATGAGTACGCTGGTCTGACAGATTAATAGCATGCGAGCAAGCTCTCCTATTTGGGCGAGTGAAACGAGTCTCGCGAGGACGCGCGAGCGAGCGGCGAAGCCGCGAGGAGCAGAGGAGCAGAGGAGCCCGTTTCTCCGTCTACATTAAAGATCGAGGTTTCAATAGTTTTGCATCTAACGTGATAAAACTGTCAGTTAATGAAACAAAATGGAGTTGTTTGCTAGCCAGGACCCGCGCTCTTATTCTTTATATTTCGATTTGAATGTTTGATTTCGGGCCCGTAAAGTTACCGGGACTTTGGAGAAACGGGCCCCAGGGCCTTTCCTTGGCCCCTCGCTCGCGCGTTCTCGCGAGGCTCGCTTCGCTTGCCCAAATAGGAGAGCTTGCTCGCAGGCTAAAAGTTTAAGGTTGGGCGTGGCCTATGTTATCCGGAAGGAAATACGGGAAGACATCGTTGAAGCTCTGTATCGTCGATAATAAAGTTGGTTTAATCGGAAAAACATTGTTTTCTTACGTTTTAACCTTAACCCTGAAATGCACCCAAAGATTCAACTGAGAACAGCCAGATGCTAATCAACGTAAAAAAGAACGAAAGCGTTATCATGCATTAACCCTCCATAATTAAACGTTTTATTTGACAAAATTCAATTTATGGATTTGGCTAGGTCTAAAATCCAAGCTGTCGTTAATATATTTGTAGTTTACTCAAATAAAAAATAAAATCTTGTAATGCTAAACGGCGAAAACAACTAGAACGATCAAAAACACCGATAGATCTAATTGGCCCCCCCAAAAAAAAACTTTGCACGTGTAATACACTTTTTTGTACATTTTTTTGTCGTTGTTTTGCATGACTACAACGTGACACTTCTAGTGCACGTGACACGTTTTATGGAGGAAATATGGTGTGTGCTCCGGTTTGCTTTTTTTCTTCACTGTGGCTCATTTTCACCTTAGTGGCCGCTAGCATTTCTTATTTTCTCTGCCGCCATAACAGTTGCATGGTTTCTTTCCGACGAAATTCGTCTCCGTCGTTTTTTTTCTCTCGCTCAAGCACTTTCTTTGTTATCCGCATCGGTGTAGACATTAAATTTTAGTCGAAAAGACTCGGCTTTGTTGCTGTTTTTTGTGTCGGAAAGTTCTGGTAGTCGTGCAGTTTACCGCCAAAACGCGCGGTTGCTTGAAGTAAGAAATTTCACCCCGGCTTACATGAAGGGGTGGACCTACAGACGTGCCTACGTACGTATGATTTTGTCAGAGCCAAAATTTCTTGGATGCATAGATAACCAAATTTTCTTAGAGGGTGTTTACATGACACCTGGGCGATTTTCGCGCCGGCGCGAGATCACTCCGGTTCCCTTTTATGGCTCTATATTTGCTTACATGATACCACCCCAGCGTGAGTTCACCCCGTTGTTGTACCGGGGCGAGAATTTCATTATCTTGCAACGAAATCATGTAAACGCGAAACGACCACCCGTTTCGGTGTGAAATCGGTTTGCTGGTAGACTGGAACGGGTAGCGCGTGCGTTTTGTTTGCGATTTTGAATCACACGTGTATTTTATCAACATGAAGTGTACCTTCAAGTAACGAGATATGAAATGACCCAGTCATGATGTATTTAAAACGCGATACGAAATCAAAAAGTCATCCCGGTGTGAAACTCGCGCCGGTGCGAGTTTTCTCATGTAAACACCTCCTTACCCATGGTGCTCCGCTGGGCTCGCTGGACGAAATCTCCGCTACAAGTAAACTGTAGCTAGTCAAAAGACTCTTTCCGTCCTTGACGCCAGAGGGACTTTTCAGACGACGTCTGACTGGTCGACCTAAAAACGATAGTTAAACGCTACGAGTGGAAGCGTGGTTTTCTTCATTAGTAGTATTAATCAGCTTTCCTTCGGCGATAAGGATATTTGCAGTGTTTTGGCGATTTTTAGCCCCTTGTAATGTACTTAGTAAATGTTTTCAGCCTTAGCCGAGGGCAATATCACTCTTACGCCAGTCTGTGCGGTTTCGCACGGGTCTTCGTTGATATATTTTCGTAGGTTTTCTATAGACAGGGGCACCCAACGACAATTTTTGGAAAATATCTGTTCGGAAGACGATTTGAGATCTAGAATTTTCGGAACATTTGTTGTTAATTTTCTTGCTTGTATGCCTCTCCTAGGATTTTCGAACCTCCCAAGCATGGTATGATTGCCCATTTTTTACGGATTTTTAGCGTAAAAAGGTCAGCTAGATTTTTCGGGAGCCTTTTTTCCGGCTGAAATTTTCGAAAAGGTAAGTTTTGATCCCTATAATTTTCGGATCACTAGACTTTCAGCTAGGAAATCCGAACTGATGAAAAATTTTTAGGGGACAAAAATATGCCTATATCTACTGTTTAAATACTAAAATACGTTTAACAATGCTATGTTTAAGTGGTTTTGAACTATATTCTCGTTGGGTGCCCCTGTATAGACCACCTCCTAGCTTTTCTAATCTAGATTTGTTACTTTTTTCGAGGACGCTAGATTGTTATCCTCTTCGCAAAAACTGTCCTAACGATCGAAACACTGGAACCACCCGAATTGGGTGATTACTTAATTTTTAGATAAACTAGGAATAGTGTTTAGTAAGCTTGTGGCTCGCTATCTTCGTGTCTTAGGGGCACTCCGTCGCCGAAGAGCAAGTGAAATTTTCGGAAATCCAGTAGAATTGTTGACCAAATTTCCAAGGAGGAACAGCTTAAGCTGGTCTAACCATGCAATTTAAATACGCCAATACAGTCTCATGTCTCATAACCGCTAGTGAAAGTAGGCAATAAACATTGAAAAGTTTACTTACTTTCCGCATTGTACGTTAGAATCTTCCGATCGCGTATTAATTACGACTAAAGAATTAAAAAAACAGGAACTTTAAAATCTTCCCGTTTTTTCATAACGCTTTACGATCACTCGCAATCGTAATAAACCGACTGCGAAAACCGCCCCCATGTTTTTAATGCACCCCATGTGTTACCTCCAATTTTTATTCTAGTTGCCATGTTTTTATTCAGTAGCAATAGGAATTTTTGTTGTCTTCTTCTGTCTGTAATCGCTCTCGTAATTAAAACACAATTTAGGGAGCTGTGTAATGGCCCACGCGTTCGTTCTGATGTTTTTTGATCACCGCCTGATCACCGCCTACGTGTTCTTTTACCATTAGTAATGTTGCGTCGTAAATCGCACTGCTCCCCTCTGCCCTCAGCAGTGGAAACTTCTCGATAGGGTATGTTTACCAAAAAATGCGTGGCATCAGGGCATTCTCTATATTTGAGTAGTTAAGTGATTTATTCAGTAAATATCTTCAAAAGTTTGTCTGTTCAATGTGTACTTGGAACTTAAGAGCAAAGAAAGTGCCGCCAAAGAAAAATTGTTTATTTGAAACTATATTCGTTAGGGTTCAGTTAATTTACCATTATAGATAATGCTAAGAACGTTTTTTTTATTTACGTTTTTTTCCTCATTACTACGGGAGTACTTAATATTTCTTGCAGTTTCCGATCCGCCTGCTACTTTCCCCCGAAAAATCAACTCAAACTTTATTAATGCAATAAACCTCTTTAGCTTGTATGTTTTGTTTTCCTAAAAGAGGTCCCAGGGGAACTTGACCCATTGTGTTTTCTTAAATTATGCGTAGATACGCACGTGAATAAGATTAAATTTGAAAGAAACGGTTCGCTAGAGTATTGTCACATGACCTGTATTGGGAAACCAAAACATACAAGCTAAAGATGGGTATTGTCATAAACCTCTTTAGTTTTGAAATCTACATACTAAATTTTTTTTCTAAAATGCGTGATGTCTTTTTAATGATCAAGCATTAGACGGGGATGTGGTATACAGTACTTTATTATCTACGTGAGTGAAATTTCCGACTTCATATTTTAATACGTCGACGTCAGCATTTTTATCGGCGACAGAATAAAGGAAACGGAAGATTGAGAACTCACAAAAAATAACTTATTAAAAAGAGATGAGTTGGCTTTTTGTTTCAATGTCCAAATTGCAAAATAGGCCATATACCATATGCATGAATCATATGCACGTATCAAATGCTTACTGGACCGTTGAGTGACCATATCACATTTTTTTTTGGCGACGTTGTATTCGTGGAGTTTGAAAAGAGGATATATTGGAGCCTTTGGTGTAGTTAACAAACAACAGTACGTTTACGACACGAAAGAACCGTCCAGCTAGCAAGTCAAACGGTAGCTGTTCTCAGAATTAGAAAAGAAACATCGCGAAAGTTCTTGGAGTTCGTTCAGTTTACTCGTGTTGCGTGTGTTGACGCTGCACGTGCACGCAAAACAGACAACAATTCAACACGCGGCAGCGTAAGCAGGTATAGTGTTCTTACGGACATGTAACAATTTGTTTACTTGACAAGCATATTCAAGTTAAAAAAAGGAAAATTCGATTCGTTAGTCTTTATACCTCCGTCAGTTCAAAAAATTAAATGAGACACTTTTAAGTCGATAACTTTGGATTTTGTCAAGTGCCAAATTGAAACTCACTTAACTTCAGTTTTGTATTTATCGAGATACAACTTCAGCAGTTTACTCACTGACTTTCCATGTGGCCAGAAATCTAAGATTTGAGATCGACTCAGAGTAGCACGTTTGATGTCTAGTACTTTTTGAAGAGAATGTGAGGGAAAGTAATTTAACCAAGGCTCGGAAGGCTGAACAAAATTTCGCATTTTGAACATTACCACAACGTACCACGCACTCCTGTGGGGAAATATGCATCATGGTTTTGCTATGGACAGAGCCAGATGACTAGCTCAATTTGAGTTTTATTACTGATAAGTTCATATTTCCAACAGTTCGGGTAGTGTAAATTAATTAAACGGGAACTTTTGTTACTTTTTCGGAGTTTAAGCTAGGTCCTGTGAAGTTAATGGGTAAAGTGCAAACATGCAGGAGCAAAAAAAAAAAAAAAGAGATTTTGAAGTTTATAATAGCTCGGCACCATACACAATAATAATAAAATTTATTATTTGTATTGCGCCCTTT